CGGACTGGGAAGCGGATCAGAAATGAGGATATATGATATCAGTTGGAGGTAATCATTATTGTGATGATGACACTGTCTGATAGGTTGTTGTAAGCTATCAGCTAGATTTTTTGCTCTGAAGCAACCATACTATTTTCGTTATTATTTTGGGATCTGAATGGGTTTCCATTCCCATTTCTTCAGCTATCCCAAAGAGTTTTTCATCTGGCAGTTTTGACTGCCATCTCTATCCCTGGTTCCTCAGTCTTTTGGTGCTATATCTCTCAAAGAGAGATCACCCCATTGGTTCATCGAAGAATCTTCGGAGAAATGTGCCGTTGATTTACCCTCTGGTTATGTCAAAATAGCTATTGAAAATGGCCATTGAAATAGTGGATTTACCCATTGAAAATGGTGGATCTTTCCATATAGTTATGTAAACGTTTACCAGAGGGTATATTTTATTATCATTCTCACCATCATGTTTCTGATTCTCAACTCCAACATCCCTATTGTGACAGACCGATGATCTATCATAGATCTATCAGTCTATCAATGATAACGATAATATACAAATATATGATAGACTGATAGACTGATAGATATATGGTAGATAATCTACCATATATGATAATATATAAACATGGCAACTAACTCCGGTGTGGCGAATCCGGCGTGGCATCCAGGTTTGGACGGGCATCCTCTGCCAGTTGATTGCCTTCTGCATGCACGCCTGCATGAAGTGCCGTGCTGAACGAAATTTTTGGATCAGACAGGGCTTGACGTGGAATTAGACTCTGGCAATCTAAGATAGCTGTTGAGAAAATCATCACTTTGATAGGTAATTCATCTATGAATAGGCCATTTTCCATAGCTCGTTTCCAAATTCATAAGCAGAATAAAGCAGAATTGTGAGTATGAGGCTTGATGTTTTTTTGGGGATTCTGCTACAATTCCCATCTGCCAGGTATGGGTTAGTGGAACTGAGGCTGAGCAATGAAGAGACTGACGAACAGCGGATCTACAAGGTGCGGCCGGAGGGATATTTTGATGGATTTGAGCGTGACTTTGCCCACTTGATCATGTGCTTCAGATATCATTTTGATGGATTTGATGGATATCTTGTCATTTTCAGTAGCGAAAGGTCTTGTGCTCGCATCATGGAGTTTCTTGAAATGGGGGTCCCCACATGATCGTCCGAGCTATTCGCATTTTTAAGCATATGGGAAGCAACCACATTGTTCATCAATCTTCCCACTTGGAAAATGGATCCACACCCTCCAGAAAGCCACGCAGCTTGGGTTGCAACATTCAAACCGATTCGAAAAAGCAAGGGCTTTCTCTCCCATTTTTTTGCGGAGCGTCAAACGATGTTGGATTTCCCAATCTGCAGCCCCAGATTGTGGTCATTCTGAGTCTGAAACCCTCAAAATGGGCCAGAGTTTTATCTTCATTTTTTGCTTTCAATCCACCCAACTAGCATAGACTTTGCCAAGTACGGGCCTTCAAAGACTACCTTCCTCTAGAGCTGGCTGATTCTCTGGATGGCACATCCTCAATTTTTTGGTGTTATTTTGGTTCGCATTTCCATAGGTCAGGTTCTACCATTGAATCCTGGGGAACCATTCGCAGATTGGCATCTGGGTTTGGTGAACCCCAATTTGGCTTTCGGTTTGGAGAGGAGTAGAGTCATAGGGGTATGGCTCAAGATCCATCTAATCTTCTCATTTTCTCATTCGAGGCTTCCTAAAGCATCATTAAAACATCCCCAAAGTAGAGGTAAAACCATCTTCGAATTTGAACACCAAATTCAGGAGTAGGATTAGATGGGTTTATATAGATTTATATTTATAGGTGTTAAAGATTAGATATGGCTTTCAAACACTAATTTGGATCTTCCTATTTCGGTCAAACCCAGGACATGTTGAAGGAGCAGGAGACATATGGTGCCATGGAGGCGATCGGTACCCGTATGGCTTTGGCTGACACCCACCAAGTCTTGAGCATCTATGGCCATAGCCTAACAATGTATATATATATAGATAATAATATACATACATATATATATAGATAGATAGATAGATAGATAGATAGACAGACAGACAGACAGACAGATAGATAGATAGATAGATCGATAGATAGATAGATAGATAGATACATAGATAGATATAATAAATAATATAGTGAGATGTCGGTGCGAGATGCTTGTCCCTCAAGCTGGGAGCTATTGATCAACAGATTTCAGCGGCCATTTGGGCTGATAATAGCTATGCGGCCGGGGGGAAGCAGCCTGGTGGCCTGTTGGAGACTCACAGTTTCGGCCAATCTGCTCTCAAAAAAAAAAATGAATCCACCTGTGAACCCTGGATTATACACCCTCTTTTGGGAATATGCCCAAACCGGGACTAGTTGCTGTTGCAATGTTTCTCTCCAACTTGAAGTGTCAATGTCGTGGCACATGCGCAGGAGCAGGCTGCATCCTTTCAGGTGCGCAAGGGTTTCACCCATAATCATATCAGATTTGGGGAAAGCTCTCCCGTTGTGAAACTATTGCTTTTGGGGGTACAATGACATTTGATGTTTTACCACTACATTGGTGGTGATGATGAACTTTGGCCCAGGGACCCAAATGCTGATTTAAAAAACATCCTTTTGATTGGAGAGTTTTCCACATATGGTTCAAGATTCAGGTACGCAAAAATGGATGGTAAACATATGCAAATATGAAAACGTATCATCGTGACCCACTTTCCCTAAATATTCCACTCCATCTGCACTGTTTTTTTTTTGCGCACCTTGCCCAGGCAGCACAGGCGGACGCCTCCGGCTATGGCTACGATGCGCAGGCCGGCTACGCTGGAGGCTATGATGCCAGCGCAATGGGATATCCTGCGGGCTATGATGCCAGCGCAGCTGGATATACCGGCTACGGAGCAGCAGCTTATCCAGCAGGCTGGGCTGACATTGGGTTGAACAAGTCATGGGTAGCCTCTGGTGTCCAAAAAAATGTGGCTGGGTTTGATTACCAGAGGGTAAACCCACCAATGGTAAACAATCTCCAATCTTAGCGGAGGTATATACCACCTTGCATCCCCAATTGGATTTGGCACGTTTTTTCCGTTCACGAGGTATGTCCGACTGGTTGAGCCAAGAAGATCCAAGCTTTGATGCATCAACATTCCACAACTACAAAAATTGTTTGTTGCTATGTGATTTTGATACAGATGCAGTATTTAAGCTTGAGTTTTAAACCACACATGCAATCTTTGAAGGAAGCAGGGGATCAAAAGGTGAGAGAGCTAGCAGCTGACATGTGGCCTTCGTTCATGAGTCTGGACGGCACAACACATATGATATTCCCATTGTATAAATACATCATAAGTGCAGTTTGAATAGGTTTATGACAGGTTTGTACAATTATAGGTGATTGCAATAAGTTTAAACCTATAATCATAACCTACATAATCACCTTTAACCGTTTAACCATTATATATATATTATTATATTTTTCTATTTTTATACTTTATAGGTATTTTTTCGGTGATGATTCGCCTCACATTGTCACACTGTCACATTTGGGTTTTTCAACCACACATTTTTCGAGACATCGCCAGGCTCGCCGGCCGTGATGCCCAGCCCGCAAGCCGCAGGGATGCCACCCGCGCAGCCTGCGCAGCCTGGGGGTGCAGCGCCACAACCAGGGCAGGCTGCGTGGTGACGGCGATGGCTGAGTCGTGAATCGAAAACCCTTTGGCCAAGAGGGAAAAGCCCTTTTTTTTATGGTGGTAAAACATGGTAAAAACCCAATGATAGGCCACAATACTGAATTGTTGAAAAGAAACACAAAACACATATTTGCTTGGTGGTTGAGAAGATGAATAAAGTATATTTTTCAGGAAAAAATAATCCCAACTGACGATTCGTCAGATTTTTCAGAGGGGTAGGGCTCAACCACCAATCAGTTATGATATACCCTCTGGTTATGACTAACATAGCCATGGAAAGATCACCATTTTTATGGGAAACTCCACTATAAATGGGTCATCTATACCATGGCTATGTTAGTCATAACCAGATGATATATGGTGAACTTTTCTGACACCACAGCATGGATGAAATCCTGAGACTCCACCAGCCCGATCGTGACTTCACGGCGTGCGGACCCCCGAGCCGGCGTCAAAAAAGGGGTCAGATCGGCGGAGAAACGGCGGCTTTTTAAACATTTAAAGGGGAACGGCCCCAAAGTTAGCACACGAAAGTTGATGGTTTCTCCATGGTTTCTCATAGTTTATCATCATTTTCCCCAAATGGCTAGCAAATAGTTTTTTGAGGGCTTCATTCTCAGACAAAACCAGATTAGATACTCAAAAGCGAGTTGATGCCAGTTCTCTTTCTCCATGTTTCGCAAAGGGTGACACGCACACACTTAGAAACACACAATTGAGCAGTGGCTGCTTATATAACCGGTGTTGGTTTATAATTAAAGCTTGCTACACTACTCAATATGTGTGTATATATATATACACATGTATAATTATATGTATATATATATATACATATTATATTAGGGATCGTAATCATTCATTATGGGAATCGACATTGACTAACCACAGAAAAATAATGACAGGGTTTTGAACACTGCTCAATTGTGTTTTTTTTTTTTCTCACCTTTGTCAGGGGTGACCTTTGTATCAAGAGCATTGGCAACATCACAAGAGCAGCGGCGAAAACAGCATCAAAAGCAAATGTGTGGATGAGACACACCGGCCAATCTTTCAAGGGTATGAACAACCACAAAAACACGAACACCACCCTCCGGTAAACAAACATAGCTGACATAGCTACTGAACATGGCCATTTAGACTTGATTTTTCCATTAAAAATGGTGATTTTCCATAGTTATGCAAACGTTTACCAGAGGGTAATCGTGGTGTGATTTCCTCAACCCACCAGTGAAACGGGTTGCCGTCCTGGACTCCTGGACCGTGACTTCCTGTCCCGCTTTGCCGTCCGCCAGACCTTGGAAACTTCACCAAGGGGTGGGCACCCGAGGCTTGGATCTCGATTTCCTGGATCAAAATCTCTGGTATATGACAAAATGATTCATTGAACTCCATTGGTTCAAAAAGATGGGTTAGTGCTAAAACCATATCTTAATTTTCTGGAGGGCTTGGTCTTATCGCAAGATACAGTTGGGCTTCAGGGGTTATCCCATCTTCCTAGGGCCAGTAGGGGTAAGCCTGCTGACCAACACACACATACACATACATATACATATCTGTGTATATGCTCATGCAACCCACTAGACCCTACCTTTTCTTATTCTTGCATCAATTTTACATCTGCCATATGCTGCACATTGCAAAACACTCAAGCACTCCGTATACACATATATATATATATACACATACACACATATATATATATATACACATACACACACACATATATATATATATATATATATTTGCGCACCAGCAACTTTAGACAGCGCAGTTCATTTGTCACAACTCAGTTCTCGCATGTTGTGATCTGGCGGCTTGCGTTCCCTTGCACCATCCGCAGCGGTTTGCAAGAGGCATGCGCCTTCTTTCTGTTTGTGGGAAAGCGCTTTTCTTCATATTTCCAGCCCGGGGCCCTCTTGTGGCTTCAACTTTTTGCCCTTGGATTCCTGGATGACAGTTGTTTCAATGAGTACTTGACAGGGATTCGAGTGGGTCAAATTCTGTTCATTCCACCTGAGTCAAAAGCATATGGCTGGTCAAAATTAGATATCCCCAAATTGGCTAAATTACCACGATCTTATGATCTTATGATCTATTAGATATCCCCAAATTGGCTAAATTACCACGATCTTATGATCTTATGATCTATTAGATATCCCCAAATTGGCTAAATTACCACGATCTTATGATCTTATGATCTATTAGATATCCCCAAATTGGCTAAATTACCACGATCTTATGATCTTATGATCTATTAGATATCCCCAAATTGGCTAAATTACCACGATCTTATGATCTTATGATCTATTAGATATCCCCAAATTGGCTAAATTACCACGATCTTATGATCTTATGATCTATTAGATATCCCCAAATTGGCTAAATTACCACGATCTTATGATCTTATGATCTATTAGATATCCCCAAATTGGCTAAATTACCACGATCTAGATAATCTAAATTGACTACTAGTCACCACTGTCTGTTCTCATTTTTAGGCTGGTGACTAGTGGCTTCCTTTGTCATACCCTGCACCAAGGTGGGTGCTGGGCATCCTTTCAGGCTGGAGTTCATGGAAGTTTCCATAAATGCTGGTACCCAATAGCTGGATGGTTTAGAAGGGAACATCCATAAATGGATGATTTGGGGGTAGCCCCGTGGATTGGAAACCATAATTCAGAATTACTTTTCAATATGCCATTCAAGATACTATGACCACATAAATCCAAATCATCGTTACGCTATCACTATCCAAACGACCACATTTATTCGATGCGGCAGAGCATCTGCCCAAATGACAACTGTGTGATAGAAACTTTTGTAATCCCAAATCATTGTTGCTATCCAAACTGGTGAAGAATCCGAATACTTGGAGTCAAGTCAAGGTGTATTCGGCCCCTTTCAAGCGAGAATTTTGGCTGGTTTTGGCTATGTTGCCTCCATTCGAACCTTTGTTTGTCACCTGACCGTTTCACCGCTTGTTTCAGGCATGGCACGCTGCTTCAAGGCTTTCTTCAGGGAGAGGACCCTCTGCCTGGGCCTGGAAATGGGAGATTTATCCATAAAGTATCATCAACTGGCGATTTTTGGCGTGGAAAGTAGTTTTTGTTTTTTCAGTTTTTGAACCACTGAGTTTTGGGATTTCCCTTCTCGACGTCTCGACTTTCGGTGGTGATTGGAAAAAATGCATAGTTGAGGAAAGTTCCCCAAGACGGAATCCCACCAAAATGGATCGCAGGTCTGTTGGATCCCAAGCTTTGTTGTTCAGTTGGATCCATTTGCCAATTGGTTCATACCAGAGTGGGCTTCTAATCTCTCCAGGAGGGTGCCGAAGCAAGCAACCATTCTGCCAATGAAGCTCTAGTGCCTCACACGTTGCAGTGCCTCGTTTGTACTTGAAAGGATGAGATGAAAGCGGCTTGGTTGGAAGATGTTTTGAAGTATGTTGCACTTTCAACCTGTACTCGAGATGATGATTCCCAATTGGCACATATTTTTCAGGGAGGTGAAAGCATCAAGAAGCCACGCTGCTGCCATGTTAGAAAAATCAGTTTGTTTTTGCTTGGTGTAGTTTATCCCATGACCTTTCAATGATACGTTGTTCTAGCCCAGCATCGGTGTTGAGTGTCGAATCAGAGTCAGCTTGCTGGATATGGTCGTCCCCAAACATCATAGACCTTTGGATTGTTGATAAGGCTGATGCACTCAGGCACTCTAAAAACCCACAGGTAGCTACATGCTGAGTACAGTCTGAAACAGTGGTGAGGATGCAACGGCCCAAATTCGATGGGTCAATGCTCAATGAATCAGTGATTGGCTCGAAAGAATAGATCAACACCACTATTCTGAGCATATGATTCGTGATATAATAGTCATTAATGATGTTTAATATCATATGAACCAATATGTAATAATGATATTAACTGCATACAAACATCATGATGTTTAGGCCTTAAATCACCAAGGTCCAGGTCTAGAATTCCCAGCCAATTTGGCCTCGAGGTTGCTGGGTGTTGCCTTAGGGAGATCGGTGAAGGCGGGAAGAGTTCCACTGCTTGGTGGTTTGGAAAAATGTAAATCCACAATATATGGAATCATAATCCATTTTATTAATCCAATATATATACTCATCCCAACTGACTTTCATATTATTTCATATTTTTTCAGAGGGGTTAACGGTATACCACCAAACATATTAAAAAGAGTGACCGATGGACACCGCCGCAGTTCAAAGGCTTGGAAATGATCGCGTTCCCCCGAGGGTTCACGGCTGTTTGTAGAGGCGTCGCCGGACACATCTCTGGTGATTGTCACTTTACTTGGCTTACCCTTCGTGCGGCTCCCAGCGGAACAACGAATGGGATTTTAGGGGACAAATCCGGAACAACATGTTGAAAATCAAATGAAAGAACCTTCATAAATTGGCAAATAGTCACACATCACATAGATATATAATACAATGTATGTAGATTATATATATATATACAATTATATATATACACCATGTATATCCCAATGCGATTCGTACCAGGTTCAACGCATCAGCGCTTCCAGGTGCTCACCATTTTGGCCTTCTTCATCCTGGGACGCCTCTCCGAGGCGTCCTAGTGGGGTTCATGGCCTGGAGAAAAGAGGTATCCGACTGACCAACTGACCAACTGAACTGGGGCATTTTGGCAAGAAAACTGGGATTTGAACATTTATAATAAGTCATAACAAACTGAAGTTGGAACCTAACTAACTGAAAATATGGTGGTTTAAGCCATGGACAAATGATGATATCCTGGGAAATATAGACATGGATTCGCCATCAACAATGTGGCTTTGCCATGGACATGGGGTCATTATGGTACCCTCCGGTGTCAAACATTGCTGGGAGGGAAATCCCCGAATTCAATGGGCATCTGTAGATAGGACATCATCGAACTGATAAACAGTCAGACATATCTATCTTTGAATGAACAAAAGAGAACAACTTTTCTTGAATGGACACACGATCTAATTTTGAATAGAACAGCGTTTTTTGTTGCCAGATGGGTTTCAGGGTGGGAAGGGGGATGTCGTTCAATAAAGATGCAACTCACAACACGAGTTGATTTTTGGGATCAAGAACATAGAAATCACCAGCAGCCCAGGACGATAGGGACAACTGCCCCTCACAATTCGGATGGTCACCCAAGTAGGGGTGAAGTCACAGGAAAGGGGACAAGAGGAAACTGCACATTGAACGGGTATGAGCCGGCGGATGATCATCTAGTACTAGTTCCATTGGAATGCTTTTTCTTCCAAACAACCTTTTGTTCGCAGAATTGAATGAAGAGAGAAAACATCTACGTGCAGGTATACACAGTACTGAAATTGTTTCCTGGAGATTTTTGCTCAAACAAAGCCATATCTCTCCAGTCAAAGTCATGGGTTCGGTCCCCAATTTGTTGGTTACCCATGGTTACCCCCCAAGGTTTGCATGTCAAATCAGATCAACATCTGTCGGCTATTCGGCTATTCCTTGGCTAAACCCACATGTTTGATGGTCAACCGTCCAACTTTTTTGCTGCTAACAATCTTCTTTCTTGGCTGGTGAAACCTTCATCTTTGTTTGTCAAACGCCCATTTCTTAGAATTTCGTTGCTCAAATCCTATTTGCTCTGGCTAACTCACCGTTTTTCATGGTCAACTTTCGTTTCTTGGGGCACTTTGTTGCTTCTAAAACCCCGAGTTTTTGCTCAAACCTCCATGGTTTTTGCCGGTCAAACCCCTTTGCTTCGCCGGTAGGAGAAGCCACCCTATCCCCAGCGTGGCGCGGCCATGGCAGGGGGCGATGCCAGGCGGGGAGATCCCAAAAGCCATGGGTGTCTTCTAACCAATCCATTCCTTTAGGGGATTGAAGGAGTTTTTTTTCCCTTTATTTGATGTTTTTGTTTGAGTTTGTGGGGATTTGTTTTTTTTTTGGGAGCTGTGTTTTTTTTTAATGTTTTTCTTTTGGATTTCATTCAGATTCGGGGATGTAATGACTTTGAGTCTTTGGACCGGGCTGAAGATGATTTCTTTACCTTTTTCAATTGGTGCATCTTCCAAAACTAGGGAATCCACAGGGGTTAATATTTTGTGGCTCCACTGAGCAAATCCAAACCCTGTGAATTTGGAGCCACCAAAAAGCGAGGGGGATATAAATATACCTGATATAAGCAATTTGATGATTTGACGAAGGGGGATTTTACCACCTATGGGGATACACGCATGATGTACTGTAATCAATTTATAACCACCCAACAAAAAAGATGTGGACATTTTGCACTCCTATTTTTTCAGTTGTGATTCAATGGGATTCTGCGATTACATGGTGCAAAAACTCCAAGGAGTTGGGTGTTAAAGGGCATGGCAGACATTGCAGGTCGCTTGAAAAATCACCCTCTGTTGAGTTGCTGACTACCAAGCATTTGATTCTGCAAATGCACTATGGGACTATGGGTCATATCAGATTCGGACAACCCCAAGATAGTCACAAAATCACCTGCCTTGTCAGGTTTCCTCCCAGAAGTGTGTCGCGGGCCTCAAAGCTTTTGGGAAAAAAAATGGACCTGGTATTTTTGGGTCGTTGGTGTGGCTGATGATTTTCCAGCATGTATGTCATTGTATGTGGTGATTTTTCAGAATTGCCTAGCTTTTTTGCCGGATTCCAGTCTCTTTTCCCACTCACCCAATAAAAGACACATGACAATGGAAAACCGCACTTTATGTCTTTTCCTAGACGATGTTTGTAGAAAGGTTTGACGAGCGCTGGATAAATTCACCAGCCACCTAAAAATCATGGTGAATTCAAGTGAAATCTTCATGTTTTGTATGGCCTTATGGTATACACCCCTTTTCGATCGTTGAGTACATGTTGGATGTTCCTTTCATCCTATTTGTGCTACTCAAATCCCCAATAGTGGAGGGTTTAATCCTCATTTAAGTGCTGGTTTAGTTCCAGTTTAGGCGGTTACAGTCCATTCCTCGTTTTGCCAGCTAGACTCTCCAATGTTTCTCTATTTTTGGTGATCAATTTACAATTTTCACCGGCATGGTCATGGATTGAATCCCAATATTACTGCAGACTATTCAATCCATCATCTGGTTGGTGGTTTGGAACATTTTTTATTTTCCATAATATATGGGATAATCCTTCCCATTGACTAATATTTTTCAGAGGGGTTGAAACCACCAACCAGTCATAATCATAGTGATAACGCCCTATGATGGGTGAAATCCACATTTTGGCTAACATCCACAGCTCAAATGTTTCAATCCTGCTTTTGGCTGATTTTTACTGCTCCATTTTTGATACGTTACTTATGTCAAGCTGCATTTTCCGCAGTGAAATCCCAATATTTCATGCATCAACCTCCGTTTTTTGAATCATTTCTTCATATTTATAACCCCTATGTTGGCTTGATCAATGCTGCTAAAGAATGCACATTTTGTTCTGGTTAATTCCTCCACCTTCGGCGAAATGCACAGGCCCGGCTCGGCCTTCCCGAGCCGCCCCGGCACTGCCGGCGGACTGCCGCGAGCTGAGTCGGTGAGTCTTTGGGTTTTTGTTTCGGCCGTGTGAAGATGTAAAGATGTTTTTTCTTTATTATTATTTATTATTATTTATTATTATTTATTATTGTTCTATTTTTTTCTTCTTGTTTTTTTTTAAGTGTTTTCTTTTACATATTTAATCATCAGCATCTTGTATTCTCTTGTGAAATAACCTATTTTTTACCTATTGGCGACCTCACTTTCCAAGATCTCGAATTTATGTGACTGAAGATAATCAGCAACACACAGCACCTCTCTAGACGATCGATACCAGCATAGCATGGGTTGTTCGATGAGTCGGGACGAGGATTTTGGTCCAGTCCCTTGAGTCCCTGCAGACATTGATAACCCAGAAAAATGGAGAGATTTTTCATCCAGGAAATGGGGATGGATATAGAATGTGAGATACGACTCCTCAGGAGTGACCAACAAGAAGTTGATCGGTCAGTTGAGTGTGGATGGGGACATTGAAAGTCCGGTCTTTTTCTGGGCCTTCATTTCATTTCATTTCATTTCTAAGTTTCAGTAGTGGTTCGCAATGCTTGGCAAAAGAGCATCTGAACAGCAACATCAGCGAAGTGTACTATTTTTTTCAAAACCTTGAGCATAATCACTTGATATCACTTGGCTTGTGGCACTAAGCCTTAGCATGAGTCTGAGTGGAAGGAGAATATCTTCAACCCCATCAGTGTGTATATATATATATACATACACGGTAATATACGTATATTCTTTGAAGATAGGAGCCCTTTTGGTCCTAAAGTGGGGCATGGTCAAAGCATGCCACGAGGCGTCCCCATGGAGGTGCTGCCGCTGTTGATAGGTCAATTGAGTAGGAAGCCCCAAAAAAGATGTTAAGCAGATCCAAGAGAAGTAGTGATGAATTCGTTTTTTGTTGGTTGCTTTCCTATCTTTTTGATCTTTTTTGGGGAGTTGCTGACAGATATGCCTTGGTCATTTTTCCCACCGTCCGGGGGCAGTGTCATGTTTCGGATCCTCGAAGTGATGCGAAAGTCAAGCCATGTCTCATGTGAAAATTACCATTTTTGGGTGCCTAGAAGGAGCCAGGCCAAGACACCTCGAGGCTGCAAAAAAAGGTCCATGAAGCACTTCCAGACATGAAATGGGCTTTCAGCTCTGAGGGTTTTCAGAACAACCCCAGTTTCAATTGAGACGTTTGCTTTTCACATTTGAATTTCTTTGGGTCATCTTTGACTCATGCATCCATTTCAAGATGTAGACACCTATGACATCCTCAGAAGTACACTGGACACCTGAAAATGGACAAGTACAACGACTAAAACGCAAGTACTGCAAAGAGAGATTCTCGTGTGCTGTCGGAAATTTCCTCTGTCAACAAACATCGCTAGCCGGACATGTTCCCCTTCACTTCGATGATTTTCCTGGCAAACATAATAGAAGCTCCATCTTCGGGAATTTCCAAACCATGACATTTTTGGTCAGCCGCAGGCTTCCCGATGAACGGTGAGACTTCAGTGCCACCCACCTTGCCGGTGTTGACCAGCAGTCGATCGTGGGGTCCCTGAAGGATGAAGGTTTTACAGCTTTTATCTGGTAAACATACAAAAACGATTGAACATGGCCCATAGAAATAGCTGATTTACCTATTGAAAATGGTGATTTTTCATAGTTATGTAAACATTTACCAGAGGGTAATATGTTCACCGCCGGGAAAATCATCAAATTATTGGTGGATTTTCCAGCTGGCCACATTTCATGGCCAGAGGGTAATCCAGCAATGGTTGGTTGATGAGGTTTTCTTCAGAATAGAAAATGGCAGCAGGAACTTCAGCCGAATCTCATTGGCTAAATATTGAAGTTCCAGCTCCGGGTCCAGATTCGTAACTGCTTCCCTGTAGTGAGGTCATATTCACATGCCCCTTTTCAGATCTTGTCAATTTGTTTTCTTTGATGTTTGGAATCCTCAATGTTTGGGTCAAAGGACCAAGCCCCCTACAATCTCGCATACATGTTCCCGTTGTTGCTGGTCAGATTCCTCCTTTTTGTGTCATCTCCATTCTTGGTGTGATGCCTACCCGTTGTTCTTCCTATATACCTCCTTTATTCCTTTCTCCACATTTTGGGTTAGTTCTCCCCTCTTGGATCTCTTGGGCTATGGAGTGATGGTAAGCTAGTTCGTACGGAACTTGTAGTCTCTTTGAACTTACAGCACTTGTATCGTCAGGAGTTTTATCTTTGTTTCACCATGACATGACTTTTGTTGTTACTGTAATTGTTACTTTTGTAGTCCATGATTCTTGGGTTCTAAGTTCTAAGCCTTGAGTATCCCTTGGTGTTGGTTTTGGTCAGGTTTTCGCCAAGACCCCCTGGCCGCAGGGCCCATGGCCTCCCATTCCCAAGGCTTCCGATGCGGCAAAGCCCGGATCTCATCGATGAGGACCGGCTGATCTGAGAATCTGAGGACCTGGCAGATACGGCTGACAGGAGGGGATGATTGTCATTTCGGCTGACCAGGATGTTTAACAAGTCACAGGTCTTGATACTGGGTATATCTGGGTATGATGTTTGAAATAAAACAGATTGGGACATCCAGAATCCAGAGAAAGATGAGAAAGGAAACAGGGATAGTAATTCCAATCAACATCTGAGACCCCGGCAGGATACACGTCAGTCACCGCTGACCATGGCCCTCTTTGCTGGGGAGCCCAACGAATTTTTCAGACACCGCGGGCAACATACAACATCATACAACCCGTTTCTGGTAAAATCAGGGATGGTGTATGAAATTACCCTCTGGTTATTTAACATAGCCATGGTATAGATGGCCCATTGAAATAGATGGTTTACCTATTAATAGCATGGTGGATCTTTCCATGGCTTTACCGTACAAAAAAGAATCCCGAAACACACGGGACCAGTGACATTATGGATCTCTGATCTCTATTTTTGAAACCTCGAAAGCTGATTGAACGGTGCGGGCACCAACTTATGGGCAGGAGATGCGGGCTTGAAAGCCACCGGTCACCGTGCTTGTTTGCTTGAAAAAACGAAAACCCCAATCTTCAAAGATTGAATTGCAAAGAAAAGCAACATCTAAGATCATCAATCATCAAAGATCATCAAAGTACACTAAGATCATTCAAGTACAAGGAGTTACCACACCATTTTGGGGATGACTCAAAGCCAAAGCGACCAGCCAAAGTTGCGGGTTCGTGCCCCAAAGACTTGAGCCAAGAGCAAATTTCCCACCCAGAGCAGAAACAACATTTGGGATGAGCTTAGACTCCATATCATGATGCATTTTATCATGCATTATACATCCTTATATAGTTGTATAATATAGTTATACATCATACATATATATGTGTAAATATATGTATATATATGTATATATATATATATATGTATATATGTATATATGTATATATGTATATATATATATACATATGCATCTTATGAGATTGCCATATATTGCCATACATGCTCTCCAGGTCCAGTGGATTTGTCCCTGGTCTTCCTCTCGTTGAGGTGAAGAATCCCCAGGGTGTAGCCGTTCGCTTGGATGGTGCCGCCCCGGATTTTCGCTGCTTGACACGTGCTCGAAGGTTTGGTACCCCCAAGTTGTCCTAGAAGAAAACCATAAATGGATATAAATTAAATTGATATGAAGATATACTATAAATTAAATGGATATAAATGCTGGAATAGTGTGGTAACATCAACAACAAGCTCCAGCTACCTTTGTGAATTGTATGGTCAGTCTCGTTGTGTACAAAGGAACATGCTGGCCTTCGACGTTTTTTTTTGTGGACTTGTAACTTGTAACTACCTCTGTTTGGCAGGTAGGGAATCTTCACTCCATGAAACAACTATCGGATATCGGAATATGTGGTTGTTTGGGTTTCCAGGCGTTGCGGAATGACAGAACTGGGCTACTCTCCGCTGTCAGGTACCCTGTCCCCAACACCCGAGAACAGGCGCATTGAATGCGCATCCCGAGTGATGTGGGTCTGTCGTTTTTTGGGGCTTTTGCCAGCAAGGATCATGGGGAGATCATGGGGGCCCCTGCAACCAACACCATGATGGCAATGGGTCTGTCTGAAAACGGGATGAATATCCCTCAGTGATGGCAATCCCCAAAAAATATCCGAAACATGATTTTCTGATGGTCATCAAATTTGGGGGTACCTTGTTTTATTTCATACAACGCCATTTAAAGCCCCCTTCGCCTGGAACTACTGCCTTGCGAGCGAAGATCCGCAGTGCGCAGTATGAGTACTGGCACAGGGGAGATGATCTTTGGCTCCACACAGGGGTGCTTGTGAAGCAAGCCATGGCGCCATATCTTCAATCCAAGCCCTAATGCTTAATTTTCCAGAGCAGCTGCGCTTCATCTGCAAAAAAATGTAACCTGTGGCATCCATCTGGCTTCCATCTGCAAACCAGTCTGAAACACCGATCTTTCGGGGGGGGTAGCATATGTATATATATATATAATATGTACAATATATATGTATAATATATATGTAATATATATATATATATATGAATAATATTGATGTATAATATTTATGTATACAGTTTATGTATAATATTTATGTACAATATATATATATATAGTTGTATGCGAATCTAAACTTGAACGAGACAATTCTTGAACAAATACACTTTCCGGTCATTCGTGTCAATTTTTCCATTGACGGAACGAACGTATCGATTGTCGCCGGGAGAACAATCCTCTGATGAAATGACAGGATTTGCCATATCTTGACCCACATCGATACTGCTCTGACCAGTTTGCAGTTCAGTATGGATTCGGGGGACTTTGTGGTTGCTTCAAAAATGAATGTTTGCTGGTGGTCATGGACTCCATGGATGAAGTGATGTCGGTTTGGGGCTCCCCAACTTTGGATCGAGTCCAAAGTTGGCGCGAAACTTGGGCGCCAGGACGGTGAATGTCGTGCGGGTGAAGGACAATAGCGTGTCTTGGCGTTGTGCGAGGATGGTTCTTGTTGCTGGGTGCCATGCTCCGAGCTGGGAATCTGAGTCGGAATCTTGCCCAAAAACTGTGCATCATATTTGAAACAAGACTTTCTATAGCAAATGACCAAGAAGCACTTGTATGTTTGAACACCTGGGCAATGGCCACTTTGCCTTTCTCCACGACCAAAAGGATCTTCAAAAATAAAGTGGCCATCTTTCTTGATGTCTCCCAAGGGTTCATAGTCACCATGGCAGGCACTGCCTGGATTCTGGCTAAAGCAACTGGCTACTGACTTGGGACGATTTGGGCCCCTTCAAAGCACACCTCACCGTCGGGTTTCCAACCTATCCCCCCAACTTTCACCAGGTTTTGATTTGTTTTCATACTTGGCTGGTACTTTCATACATTGGTACTTTCAAGAATATCAAGGACCGCCTTTCTGGTGTGGCATCTCTGGCCTGTGACACCAGGTGATCTTGAGCGCCAAAGTGGCGGAGAATGCGGACTCCTCCACCATCTCTCTCATGGTCCCCTCCAAGGATGGCCAGGTGGCCGGAGTTGGAAGAGCTGAGTCGACATGTTTGGGAAAATATGGGAAAAAACCCGGGGAAAAACCCGTTGGACCGTGGGCCTTTTTTTATTGATGGTGGAGGAACTCATTTTGCAAACATAAGGATTCTGGGATATTTTTTCAGGGAATCCTGCCATTTTTGAGACGAACCGACATGGGAAAACCTGAATTTCGGGACCCTTACCACGGGTGATGAATTGTTGGAAGTCACCAAGTTTGAGAGAGCAGTTTACAGACTCAAACAAGGGTATGATATCAATCCAAAGAACAGTCCACGGGTATCTGTTCTAGTTCTCGTGTATCCTTTACTACGTTTGGGGGTATTCTTCTGCCCTAGAACAATCCAAAGAAACAAGTTAAATAAGTAAGATGTGTTGCGTATGGTTTTCAGCATGCATTGATGACATTCTTGTTTTTGTGATACACTTTTGTTGGAACATCCACCACCACCCTGGGGTAAACCAGGATAGATGCTGAACCCCCATGGGTTTCACTCGGAAAATGATCTACAAATGGTGGCCTAGGCTTCCCCCTTCCGAAGCCCTCGGACGCTACTGGAGCGTCCCCGAAAACCACGTATTACGTACTTGTCGAAGAATCCCAAGTATGTATATGTGTATATGTGTATATGTGTATATGTGTATATGTGTATATATCTATATCTATATCCATATCTATATATATATATCTATATATCTATATATTTTTATATATATCTTTATATATATATTTATATATCTACATATATATATATATATCTATATATCTATATATCTATATATCTATATATCTATATATCTATATATCTATATCTATATATCTATATATCTATATCTATATATCTATATGTATATATCTATATATCTATATATCCATATATCCATATCTATCTATATATATATATATACGTACAACTACAACAAGGCTTCAGGATAGTTTTGTATAAACCACCAACTATGGAAACACATTTTGAGATTATCATTCCCCATAATTCCTCTATGTAGTTATTGAGTGGTTGCTGTAATACCATTGCTACTGCTGCGGCTATAGCTATGAGCGTAACAATATCTCGCAGCTTACTGTACTCAAAAGCTAAACCAGAGGATATAGTAGGGGCAACAACAACCAATTACTGTACGTGTACAATGCGGAGTAAACCTACAATAATAACCAACAGTAAGCTAATAATGAATAATAATGACTCATGTATAGGTTGGCAATTCATTTTGAAATTGTACCAACTACCCGGGACCCGAGGCAGAGGTCATCGCCATGTTAGACACTCGCGATGCTCTGCTGTCGTGTGGAGCTCGAACTGGCGATGGGATGGTTGGCCCCCTTGGCGCGATAGCGAAGTTGACGCACATCAGTTGGTTAGGGTTTACCTATGTTTACCTGGGATACATCTATAGTTAATTGATGTTAATTGGGTTTATGAAGCAACTTACAACTGGGTGGCATCAGCTTGTGGTGAATGGGCTTCCATAAAATGAAGATTTGTGAAATTATCATTTTATGATCGTTTATATACACCATCGAACACATTGATTGAGACAAAGTTCTTTCGTTTCAATGCAATTCTCCTGGAATCATCAGATTGATTTACAAAAAGGGTAGTACATATCCAAACGTATTTTTCAGATAAGCCCTGAAATGCCATGAACGCAAGATTTGTTGGTCAGTGATCAGTTTCAGCAAGACTCCCGTATCATGATCCAAAACGATCCTGCAATGGTTCGAAGTTGTGTGCCCAAGAGGTTGGAACCAGCGTTTCTTGGTAACAAGGAAACCAGCACCCTTCTCAATCAAAAGCACCCGTTGTTTTTTGTTCTAAGATGGTGCGAGCGAACCTCAGTACCACTATGAATTTATGAATGTCTCCTTGTCCAGGTGTTGCAAGGGTCGGTCAGTTTCAGAACTTGGGACCCTCGCCGAAAACCTCGCCGATCTCGCCGGAGTTGTCCAGGTTCAGTAGGTTTGTAGGTGTGACCCAAGATGAGAAATTCCGAAGCAAAGTCCAAAAAGGGGTGCCTGTTGGGAGACTCGCCAAGGTTGGAACCATCCAGTCCATATCTCAATGATCTCAATGAAAGTGTTCCCATGTATAATAGTATAACAGAAGCTGCAAGAGATGCACACGGGTAACATGGGATGCGCGTCAATGCCACGTGCTCCACGGTGCCATGGTAGAAGGCGTGGCGGAGTCGCGGAGGTGGAGTTGCACCGCGATGGACTGGTACTGTTTTACCTTCTGGTTTCTAGCAGCTTCCGCGAATCAGGTTTTCAGGTTTACCATGGTTTACCATGGTTTACCCTTAGTGATCCTTAGTGCATTGGTGATCTTAGTGGCCCTACCTCTCAGTATTGCTGGGGACCTTTCCCATCTGGATCGGCCTATCTGGCGCCAGATACCTGGAGCATCCTGGGACATGCTTGGAACATTTCGGAACCACAAAAAATGCACTTGCCATGCTCCCTGTTTGCTTAGAAACTTGTGGAGTTACTTGGAAGTTCACCCCCAAAAAAGTCAGTGGTCTAGAAATGTCTAGAAATCATTTGCCTGTCACAGTACACTTCAAAGCTTGCTGGAGTTCATCTCAGAATACTTGATGGTTACTCATCTGGTTGGCAGTTTTAGATATGATTTGCAACCATAGAAATGGGACGATATTCACCGATATTCCCCAATGACAGCCGCATATTTTTCAGGGAGCAAAAAACCACCAGTTTGGGCGCGTGTTCCCCAGCCATTTTCCTTCTCAGTTCATGGAGATGATGCGTTTCCGTGGCTTACAGGTGGGCTTCATTTTACATGGAAAAACGCGTTTTTTTGGCCATCTGTCAAATCATCTTTCAAACCCACGGTTGTCGGGGTTCCATGTGAAAAAGAAAATCAAGGTGTCAGGGTGTCAGGGTGGGGTTCCATGATGTTCCATGTTTTTTTTGATTGAACGCATCATGGGCACATCCGGCACCAACGTTCCGTGTTTCCTCCAGATCCATCGAAGTCTGCGGCTTCGGGTCGCTCGAAGTTCGTGGATGAAGCTTTTCCGGCGGCGACCGGGACCACGAATCTGCTGCGAGTTCCAGGGGTTTCGGGGCCGACCTTTCTTTTGTTTGGTGATTTAATGCCGGAATCCTTTTTAAAAGATGCAAAAAAAGTGAACACCTAACTTTGCTACTTTTTTTTTTGGTAATTAATTGGGTTTGCTTGGAAATAGGCTAACAACCACTGATGATCTTCATTTCTCAAAATTAGAACGGCAATTTTAAGCATGCACAATTTTTAGACACAGCCTTTTTTGCTGATGCAATTGATTGCCAAAAAAGAATCTAGGAGATATTGCATATCCGTCATCAGAGTCATGTTTGTGATTTTGAGATCAATTTCATTCCATGGATTTGACGAAAAATCCACGGGAAATCCTACTTTGTATATGTTTAAATCACCAAATATGATCGAATATTCGGGTCTTCCTGCAAAAAACTCTTCCGCCGCGAGGGAATTTTCCAGGAACACTTGCAAAGTCAGGGGTCAAAGCTGGCAGCTTGTTCCGTTCATCCAATTCGGACCTGGCCTGGCTTGTGATGTTTGAGGCCGCTACTTCCATCCACGGGCGAAAGGAGGAGGCAGGGAGAGATCGTTTTGAGAGTTGCTTTGGTTGTCTTCGTTCTAGAACATGATTTGGAGTTATATTTAGAGTTATATTGAACTTATTTTCTTGTACTGTTATTTTTCCATCCACTTGTGGCTCCTTTCCGATACAAATTTTGAATGTTTTGAAGTAAACTTTAGAGTTATATTGAACTTATTTTTCCGATACACATTATTCCACTTGGGTATTCCATCCACTTGGTTCGAAAGTACATCCCCACCGGTGACATCCGCCAGGGCTGGGCGGATCTTCCGCAATGCCACTGCGGTTTGGATGCGCACCAGTCGACCATGCGTGCGGCCGAAGGCGGGACCGTTTTTTTTTTGTTTGGGGGTCGGAAACTACGAAACTCCATAGTTTCCCACAATTGGAGGTTAGTTTCCCATAATTGGAGGTTGGTTTCCCATAATTGGAGGTTTAACGGAATTTGAGTGGGATAGACTATGGTATATACATTGGCCATATCTGGCTCTGAACAGGGACCAAGAGATGATAAGAATCCTGAGCGTTGGCAAGCAGCCATGTATAACCCATATATAGCATTGGGCATGTTCCATCTGCAACTAGATTTTGATGCGGTTCTGCCCCACTTGCTAATTGGAGGGTTTGGGTTTAAGGACCTGGGAGGTTCCACTTACAACTCGTTGGCGGTTTCAACTGCGCTTATTTATCTTCCATTCCGTTTTTGGATCAAATGGATGATATTTTTTGGAAAGCGGCTGAAAAACATCCATCTAGCAGGTGCAAGCAGCCAAGGCTCAAGTAACTTGCTCCAGCGTTTGAAGTTCACAGGAGGATACAGTGATACAACGGCTCGGGATAGGGTGGTTTCAGAGATTTCATTTTTTAACCATGGTAGAAATGGAACCATTCTTCATTTCAACCATTTGACTTCCATATAGTTGGAACGGGTTGAAACCACCAATCAGTAATTGATTGCTTAGCTGGAATTCTTTGCTGGAGGCACGCCTACTCTAATGAGCTACTGTCAGCCCCTAGTTTCAAGCAGGTTTCACGGTTTCACATGCTGTTTTTGGGATTGTGAAACGGCCCCCAGGTTCTGTGCTTGTGTGTTTCTGAACAAAACACCACTTGCAGCCAGCTTTGGATCTCTCCAGAGCTTGCATACCCTGACTGCATTCATTCCATTGGAATCTGCTGTGATGGTCGCCTGCCATGGTGGGGCGTTCTGTGGCCAGAGGTGTGGTCCTGGGAAACTGTGGCCGAGGGTACTGACTGAGCCTGTATCCCAAGCAGGTCCATTTCCATCTGGAACGGTTGGCACCCAACTTGCTTTCATCAATTCTCATCATATTTTTCTATTGGGAACAATCATCCCATTTGACTTTCAGAGGGCTAGGTATACCATGGTATACCACCAACCAGTTCATGACAAGGCCTGATCAATCTTCTGTCTACCGCTAGAACCATGCCACTTAAGTCATGCCATCTTGGCCGCCGAAAGTTGGAGACTCTGGATCCGTTTCTGTTTGACCCACAGTCACCTAAAGCTTGGTGCTATGAAGTGGCGTCAGATGATCAGTTAGTTACAGTTAGATGCCAATTTTCCATAATTTTCCATCAATCCCAGCAAAATTTCTTTGAAACCATGAGTTTTCTGATAGTGATCCGTAGTTTCCCCCATTTTGTCGAGTGCCTCGGCCTGCAGTGCTTGAGCTCGCAGTGCCGTTGCGGGAAGGGCTCACTTTGGCAGCTCAGGCGCAGGTTATGGTACCCCTAGGGCCCTAGGGTCGTAGCTGGATGATGCTGGATGGTTATTCCCCCAGTCTTTGAGGTTTTTTGCAGGTTTTGGATGGTTATTCCCCCAGTCTTGGATGGTTATTCCCCCAGTTTTTTGATGGTTATTCACCCTTCTCCTTTTTTTGGTGTGTTTTTCCCCTGATTCGGCTGTGAATGTGAATCACAGAGCAAACATCTCTACAACATCTTGAAACATGCTGAGACGTAAGGTCAGGCCTGATGATTTCAATGCTTTGAATATCTTTCAATTATTTATGAACTATTTTTGAGTTGGAATGTGGTAACTACTCGTACATATTTTGGCATTCAATACTTCAATATTGTAATGGTCTATGTATTGATAGCTTATTACTTTTTTGGGATGTTTCCCATGATTATCTCCATCACAAATCCATCACAAATCCATAGAGTATCCATAGACTATCCATGTAATTGATGATCCATCACAAAATCCAGCAGAAAACCCATATAAATCCATATAAATCCATGTAAATCCATATAAATCCATATAAATCCATAGACTATCCACAATAAATCCATATAAATCCATGTTTTTTCTGGAAGCGTCCAGGCCTGGAGCCGCGGATCGCCTGGATCGCCCTTCCGGGGACGGCCCGTGCTGGCCCTGCATGGCTGGCTGGACAACAGTGCACCGGACTCCGTTGGGACTAGAAAATCACCATTTTTAATGGGAAAACCATGGGAAAACCATGGGAAAACCATGGGAAAACCATGGGAAAACCATGGGAAAACCATGGGAAAATGGTGATTTATATGGAAAGATCCACCATTTTCAATGGGTAAATCAACTATTTCGACTGGGCCATGTTCAATAGCTATATGTTTATTTTCAAATTTTTGTTTACCAGAGGGTAACCGTGAAAAATAGAGGTTTTATGTATTTCTATATGGTTTTGTATGAAGATTGGGGATTTATCTCAGACATAGGAGAACGTATTGGACACTCTCCATTAAGAGGGCGATATCATGGGGGTTTAGCCAGCAAAAACGATAATTTGCCGGCAGAAAATGGCGTGCGTAGCCATCGGATTACTGAAGTGGAAGTTGTGGAAGAAAAGTGGTGTAAAATAGCATAATGGTATAATGCGAACAAGACACATTCTTTTAGGATATAATTGATATAATTATATAAATACTTGGGACAATATCCTATAGCTAGCCATAGTTTGTGGCCATCCTAGAATGGGGAAAACAAAAGGTGGGAACATGGGGGAACGTGATGATTGTTTGATGGACTCATAGTGTGTTCAAGCAGCCAATTTATGTAACTTTAAACTCTCAGAACAGAACCTCGTTTGACCAGCACTACCTCCTGGTAATCAACCATGGCAATGGAAAATTCGAAATTTAGTTCGATGATTTTCCCAGCGAACTAAACCTCCAGTTAGATCGGGGATTTCCCAGGTAGCCATGTTTGAATAGTAGTCCTCGACCTAAGGCAACAGCTTTCTGGAGTGTCTTGGCGCAGCTGACAGAATCCCAGAGCAGCTTTTCTCAGTCATGAGACCTGGGTATAAATCATGTGGTAAAACCAAAAAACTAGTAGACACAACAACAATTCATAACATCATTTTGCGGAATGTTGGTTTTTAAACTGGGGGGGGGTACTGCCTTAAGATTGTCCCATCTGCGGACCTTCCCAACCATGTTGGGGCAACCTCGTAGAGATTGTCGTCTCGTCACCGACTGGTCATCGGAACCATGGGTAGCCTCTGGTTATTTGTTACATAGCCATGAGAAATAACAACTTTTAGGATATATATATATGTATAATTAAACATATAATTGTATATATATATATATGTATATATATATATCATCTATATCAATCAAAGTGGACTTTTCCATAGCTCCGTTAAATTACAGGAAGGGTACGGGCTATATTGATATATCAACTTTAAGGCTTGCGGCTTCCAGAGCGGCCTTGAAGTTCTTTAGATTGCCAAGGAAAGTTCTTCACGAAGAGGTCAGTAAGTAGGGCCATCTATTTTCGCAAATACTGGAAGTAGTAAATACCACTAAATATTGATTCATTACCAATGAATAGGTCATCAATACTGGGATGAATGACAATTCCTTCAAGATGAATCAATATCACCAATAAATGTAGTCTTCATTTATTTCATCTTCATTCCCAATGAATAGGTCATCTGATCTGACATGTTTTTCACAGTGTAACTACTACATCAAATCAGGAACCCCGATAATTATCATTTATTACGGATACATACCTACATATAAATACGTAATATGATGGTTCAGTTTTCGTGAATGAGTGAATGAGTCATTTTCCATGTGGTGATATGATGAGGTAATTAGTTGTGTTGATGAAGCTATCGAATATCGAACGGATATTCATATAGATATCTTGTATATTATATATAATACATACCTGTATAATATATTTACATATGTATATATGTTTTCATCCAAATTGTTTTTCAATGATCCTTAGAAGGTCGTGACCTTCGAATTCGCTCAGGGTGGCTCCAGCACTGGCAGAGCAGGGCTTCTTGGTGGTGGCCATCGACTGGCCTGGCCATGGTAGATCCGAACACAGGTGCCAAAGCCGAAACAACCGAAGCCTGGAAGGATGGGTTAGTAACGGTGAGTCTACGGGAAAGAAATGATCCCAATATCATCCAAGAGTTGGCCAAACACTAATCCGCTGGATGTGAATTATGATAATTATGTTGACTCAGATCCATGATTTCTTTACCCTCTGGTAAAGAAACAGTTTGACCCTGAGAATCACCAGTTTTTCATGGTTTCACTAATCTTCCAACCCCTATCTGGCAGGATATATGTTAATTTACTGGAGGGTAATGGCTGTATATTTTGCAGCCATAAACTGGAGGGCAAGTCGTGGGTGACTGGTGATATAACCAATCGAAGCCGTTGGTTGTTTTTATGTAAGGGGAATTTACACATCTCGTATGGGTTTTAACCAGCAACCATGGGGATCAATGATGATTTTTTTTGATATAAATCGTTGGTGAGCAGAAAACAAACTGGCAACCCAACCACTGGGAAACAGTTAGATTTTGAGCCACACAACATTGGGAACTAGTAGAATTTCAACCAGCAACAACCAAAAACCAACAACTTTGAGTATGGGTCAAAATTCGAAAACTGTTTGGAACCCGAGATTTTTGGCACATTTTTTTGAAAGATTTTTAAAGTATTCACAAGTATTCACCATATAATTATTGGTATATACTTCGTACCCTATCGTACCCCATAGGCTCTATGGCTGGGAAATCTAGCTTGAATTCCTCATGGAAATGATGGTCAATTTGCAATCCCTTCCTCAAATCTCCCCCTGTCGAAAGCATGGCTCAGTATTGGACCAATGAAAAAATTGGGCGCTTGTTGGGAGTGTTTACTATTAGGGGGATGGGAGTATGGGCAACGAATTTGCAAATAGAGAGTGAAATCACCTTGACAGGTCTGACAGGTGGACTCGAAGGGCGAATTCATGCGATACAAACAATAAAGGATTGGCAAACCAAGTTGTGAAGGCTGGTTCATGGTTTCATTCGATCTTTTTTTTGCAAACAACCGAAGGAATATGTTGTTAATCAGTACACGTCTCTTAAAATTGCAGGGAAATTGAGATCAAGCATGTGGAATGTTATGTACAAACCTGGAGCACCCTAGGACTTTGTTGAATCATCACCTTGCCAGTCTAGACGTGCTCATCAATCGTGACGATCCACAAGGGACCCGCAGTCCTTGGTGAGTTGAAACTGGTTTTGCCTGCGGCGGACTCATTTTAGCACACAACAAGACATTCATGTACACAGCTGATGCACAATTTCAGCGAGATAGTCTGGTCATATTGGTATTTCAATGGCCCATTAAAAAAGATGATGTAGCCCATTTATAGCCCATTTATAGATGATTTACCGCACAGTACTGCTACAAAATTCCCTCTTAAAAATGGTGTTTTTTTCCATGTCGCAAATGGAGGTCCTTCGATGCCAGTTATTTGGCCTCCGACCTGCCGTGGTACGCCGGTGAAGTGGTGCGGGAGCCACCTGGCCGAGACGGACCTAGGGATTTCACCCCAGGGTCCCTAGGGGGATTTCACCAATGGATAGCCACAGGTTGTAGTTTTCAATGGAGAACATGATGATAAGCCATGATAAGCCATGGAATGATATGAGCTATGGTCAATACTCACGGTTAATAACCATTAATAGGGGCTAGTCATCCAATGGTTCATAGGGATTTATAATAACCATTATTTTTGGATCCTTATTATGGATGGGATGACCATCAACCATATAGTGATTATTGACCATGGCTCATATAGTTTCTAATGGTGATTCATAGTGTGATTATTAATGATAGTTGGATGATTAGTGGAACGGTGATAAATCTGGGTAATATTTCAGCACGACCTCACTGCGACCGAGCCCTGGAAATCATGGTTAGCAAGAGAAATCATCCCCAAATGGCCGAACTATTCAGGTTAGTGAATTATAATTTACCCAGATGATAAGCCATGATAAACCATGGGAAATTTGCTTGGTACTCCAGTGACAGTCGCCATTTTTTTTGAGTACTGCTACCTTGGAGTACTTGCTGATCGCTGATCGCTGATTTAAGCGAAGTCCATTTAAGGCTTCCCCCAGGATTTTCATCTCAAGTCACCACCAGGAAGTTGATGGCTGAGGCTGCAGTGGAGTCGCTTCGGTGTCCTAGGCTTGGCAAGGGCCGAAGGGGAGGGTTTCGCAGCCGCGACTTTTTGAGCGAACTTTGAAGTGCCAAAATTAACTGTTCTTTTTTAGCTTTAGCGCAGAAGAATTTGGATAAGGAGTTGAACCATGTTGAACCTGATTTTGATTCCAAGGCCATCAGTTCAAAGTTCACAATTCCATGTGGTGCCAGGACATTCCATGGGAGCGGCCGCGGGGACGTTGATGGCTGGTAGCCAATACCCGTGGCTTTGCTGTCCGGGAGTACCGGGAGTGTATTGTGGGGGCGTGACTTTTTTTTGGGGCATCACGTATTAGAATAGACAAGGTACAACATGTATAGCTAGAATATATTATAAAATGTATTTGTACATACAGTATGTATATATATATATATGTAACATTTATATGTATAATGTATATACAGATGTATACACACATTTCCAACTTATTTCTTTGGAATTTGCTAGGATATAATCGGATATAGCTAAGGAGCAGCGATGCCCTGGTTGCTCTTTGCTGCCTGGACCTTCTAGGACCGTTTTCTGCGTGGGGTCAACTCTGAAGAACCATGTCACATCACTTCAGGATATGGATGTACCCTCTGGTAAACATACAAAAAGCTATTGAAAATGGTCATTTATAGTGGATTTACCCATTAAAAATGGTGATTTTCCATAGCTATGTTAGTTTACCAGAGGGTATCTGAAAATGATGTATACCCCAAATAGCCATTTGAAATAGGAATCTCTCTCCCTCTTTTTGGCGTTTTTATTACTGCCGTGGTTTTGGAAGTAGCAAATCTTCCGAGAACTCCAGGACCCCTGTCCAGATCCGTTGGAAGCAGTGGGCAGAATCTCCTCAAGGCTGAGCAGTGGGTACCAGGGCAGCCGGAGAGTGGTCATGGAGTTTTTACCCATGGGGGATGGATCCAGCCGGAAAACGATCCAAGGATGATGGATCTCCATAGGATTTTCCCGTATCAACTGGAGGAGAGTGGAGGTTGCCACGACAGCAAAGCATACTGGTTTTAGGGTTAAAGTGGCTTTCAACTCACTTTTTGGGGAACCCATCAAAAGCCATCAAATTGTCAAATCTGGTTTGAAAAGCCTTGCTCTTCCTTGAATGATAGGACACTATACTCACAGAAACTGGAGAAAGGAAAAAACTCCAGGAACCCTTTTTCGTTTGGGCAAGTTTGGAACGGTTTCCCTTACATCAACCAGCTGCTTTCACAGCACTGTACCCCTCAGGGCTTGAAGAGTCGCGAGAAGTATTTGCAACGGCAATTGCGCGGAACACAGAAGGCCATCTCCGCTGCATTGAAAGATTGGGAAATTTGGGAAGCAGAAATGCAGTGGCTAGCGACAATATAGATTTCAGTTTACTTTTTGATATCAGTTGTTAATAGGTATGTTTAGCTTTGGACTCAGAACATGGACCAATAGCGAAGGATTCCGGTGAATCTCCCAAGTCCCGGAGACAAGAAAACCACCCTGCGACCAGCACTAGTATGTCTAGTATGGCTAGTAACAGCTAGAGTTGAGAGCACCAAATCTGCGAAAATCGCACCTAAAACATCCGAAATTGACCAGCAACTATAGACATATATATATATATATGTACTGTATATATATATATATAGAAATCCACACAGATTACAGCTATTATAAATGCTTTAATTCCTAGCTGCTGTGGCCTCTCCAGCTAGGTGTATGGTTCGCTGGAGGACTGTTACTTGGCGCTTTTGTAAACCGCCCGTAGAGCTGGATCCATGGAACTAAGTCAAGATGCGCTCCTGGGCGGGTGAGGGACCCAGCCATGGTTCAGGGGGGTATGGCTATCAAGTCATCCATGTCTAGATTCTGAGAGTCTGATCGAGACTCTGCCAGTGTTGAAAGTTTGCACTTCTGTATGGGGAACAATGGCAGCAGCTCATGATAGGCAAAGATTGGTGTCGAGCAATACATGCCTTTCTTGTTCGTACTCAGAAAACCCGATGCCCATAGTTTCCTGAGGCATCGCGGCACGTCTGCGAAGCATAAAGGTGCTCTCAACAGGGAACCCAAAGACCCAAATCTAATACATTTTATCTGGGTCTCAATTGGGGGCATTTCATGCGATCGGGGACTGGGTGTCATGATTGGTTTCTGATTCTAGATACTTTCATCATTTTTCATCAATTTGCATTACACAGATTTAGAACATGATGGGAGAGCCACATGGAACATGATGCGCAGTTTAAGTTGGTGGTATAGCTATTGGAGCGAGTTAGAGTCCAGTGCAGTTCTACACGCACTTTTTCTGGGGAAGATCCTTCGAAATCGGAATAGATTTACTAATAAGTCCAGAATTTCCTGTAAAATGTCAGTTGAATCAATCCGTTGATGAATCCATATCTCTTGCATTGCTTTAATCATTTTTTTAAAAGTTAAATCCAATAGATTGGCTGATGAAGATTGGTCAACCCTCTGTGTCACCATCAGCCACCACGACAAACCCGATCTAGTCCAGTAAGTGATACTATAATTTTATGAAGTCCCACGTTTTGGTCCTCAAATCAGTAGCAAACCGTAGCAAACCCAAAATCATCTTTAAACATGTAAGATTATCTAAACTCCCACGTGTTTGGTAATATGTTTTGGTTTAGTCATCAATTTGGTTCTATTTCTTTGACATGCCTTGCCCTAGATGAACATAGACCCTGAAAACAGGCCATTTTCGAGTGCTGATCTTCCAAACCCCCACCCTGGCGGGGTCGTATCAGGCCTGGCCTGGCCAGCAGCGCTTGACTGATCTCAGCGCCCGGCGCCTGGTGCAGCGAGGCGCGGAAGCGGCAAACGAAAACGGCGATGGCTGGCGCTTCAGACATGACGTGAGGCGCGGGATGGGGGGGATATCAACTTAGAAAGTGGGTTGTACCATGTTATACCATGTTATACCCCCAATATCCCCCAATAATATATGGATTATATGGAATATCCTCACTTATACTGTATATGCGATAAAATTGGGGATATATATATATATATACATACATGGATTATAAGCCACGGATCCGATTCGGGGGATGCACATCCAAGTGGTGAGCATATCATCCAAGCAGCTGGGAGATCATAATGGGGTCATAATTGATTAACCAGTGTCAGTTAGAGGGATATATGCTACACGTTATATATTTAATGGGGGTCTTAATGGGATATCATATAAGTGATTTGATGTTGATATATGGGTTTGTCCGAAACATGGGGGATCTATATACTCCCCAAGTGGCTGTTTAAGAGGGGAAATGGTGAGTTGCCAGTGGATTTAGGGGTACTCTATGTTCAGGAAGCTATTTGTTCTACTGTATCATCAGCATGATGATTAGGATACAGACTTTTTGCAACTCAGCAGTTGCAATTGCTTTGATGCCAGAGGTAAAAACTGGGACCAGAATTCTGCACAGAGAGGTGTTCTCACTACCCTTTTTTGTCTGCCAGACAGGCAGGTTGGATGATGAGTTCAGAACCCCAACTGCTCAGCATGATGCTCCATGACCCCGATGGCAGGTTGAACAGCCCAAGCCCTTCATATTACACCGAAGAACAGGCGCCGGCGCTGGGTGATGGTCGGTTGGAAAGAAACGATACGGAGTCTGAGCCTGGGCCCAATTCCAACTGGGGTTCCTAAGCTAACGGTGAACCTTATGACAGTACCCATTCTTCAAAACACTATGATTAGATTAAGAACCCGTTCTTCGCAACACCAGTGAGAACACTTTGATAATCCCATTGGTCAGCCCATGTCATCCCGATGCCCTTGCAACAGTAACAAACAGACCACGTTAGATTGGGGGGGATACCCAAAACAATGATTTTCAACAATAGAATTGTCGAGTTTTGGATGATGGGTAGCCTCATTTCATAGCCGGACACCTCCAAATATATATATATATATATTTACACCATCAGCCCATGAAGAACTAAGAGCCCCATCAAGCCATGTTAAAAAGATGGTTCAACAAATTTACAAAGATAATATGGGATGAGCCAAAATCAACAATACTAAGTTTTACCAAGGGACCCATACCCCACATTGATAAGCCCATAAAATAGATACACGCTTGTCCTGAATGGGTTCTAGGTAAACACGTGTACACACCTATCCACTAAAGATTAAGCCAACTTTCGCAGGGGATCCACACACCGTCAATATTTTTTCTGAAAAAAAAATGCACTATTCCAAGAACTACTGTGGATGGTTGCGAAATCCGCATCACCAGTTGAAAACGGTGTTTTATCCCATTATTTCTAGGGTTGAAAAACCATCCTTTTGGTGGTGCAGGATTTCGCAAGCATCCACAGTATCATTCATTTCGATTAGGATTGACATCAATCATACCCATTTTGGTTGGTGCCCACATTGGCGGCGCCATATCCCGCAGGGATTTGACCTGACTTTAGCCACGAAGAAAGCCTGTTTTTTTGATATGGTTATGGTACCTTCAACTACCAGCTATGGTTAGGAGGCGAACATCCACAAAAACACCAGCTATTTTGGTGTGAACACTGGGGCGATTTGTTTTTGTTTAATTAACCTGATTCAACCAAGAAACAAAACTGGAACCATAAATTTATATTGGGATTAACCAACAAAGAGATCCAGTATTTCCATTGCTTTCCAGTGTTCTTCCCATGAGCGAATTCTAGCACCATGTTTCATTTTGAGTAATAAATACTCAGTCGGTTAAACTACCAATTTCAGGTTGGTCCTACGAGCTCATTATAGAAAGCACCATGAAGTTCCAATTGTCAGTTGGTTAAAGATCAAACATTAGTTGGCATTATGCCATTAGTACCATTTCAATTGTTCTTTTATCCAAATATAGTACCATAATATTAATGTATATAATTTAAAATTCCAATTTCAGTTGGTTAAAACCTCCATATGTTCCCTATGATATCAGCATGTTTGATGGTTAAATCAGTTAAATCCCGTTTCTTTCAGTGCGTCTTTTCCCGAAAAACCACACTTAATTTTCCAAATTTGAGTTGGTGAAAAGCTCATAAAATCTCCATATGTTCCATATATGTTCCATATATGTTCCATATATGTTCCATATATTTTTCCATGATTCCCCCAGTGATCTCCCCACATTTTTCCATGGTGAATCGTTCTAAATGGAGGTGCTGGCCTTGCTGCAGCGCATTGAGACACCCTGTTTGCTGATCGAGGTTTCCCGGTGAAACCAAGAAAATCACCAGGATTTCTATGGATTTCTATGGATTTCTATGGATTTCTATGTTGTTTGTGGTTGTGATTTATGTTACCATCTGGTTATGACTAACATAGCCATGGTATAGATGGCCCATGAATAGATGGTTTACCTATTAAACATGGTGATGTTCCATGGCGTTGTTAAATAACCAGAGGGTAGATCTCAACAACTAGTTTCGGTTTTGAGTTTTTTTTGTTCTGTTTATGATGGATATGGGAAAACATACGAGAAACTATTGAACTTACCATCGAAAGCTGGTATTTGATGGGATTGTAATGGGACTTTAGTAGAATCAGGATCAGGGTTTCAACATGGTTTATCCCTTGTAGGAAATCAGTCGCTGCATACTTGGTCCCTTCAACAATCATTTTCGTGGGTTTTGTGGCTTGTTTTGGGCCTCCTTTTGAAAGTATGAAGATTGTAGATATTCACAACCAAATTTAAATGTATCCATACAGATGGAGGAAATGACTTGCGGAAAAATATGAGAAACCAACATGGACATGGAAGTAAGCATACATAGCAAGAAACTGCTTAGTACATGGGTACGACCCCAACAGAGTGATATCATGGGATTGTTGCTGCAGATACTGAGATACTCCAAGAAATCCGATCCCTGAGAGCTTTGGGGTTCCACCGTCCCAAAGTTCGTGAAAAAAGGACATTTTACATCTAGGAAAGGCCAAATCAATTTGGGAGTGACATCTAAAATCATCTAAAATCCCCAGGTGTCCTGGTTTTTTTTTCTCAAATCCATCCATTTCTCCAATTTTTCCCCGGTGAAGTTCCCAGATGTTCCGATGAAAAGTCCACGTTCCGCAGGCGGAAGGTCCTTATGCCTGGCCCAGAGATCCGAAGTGGTGGACCGCTCGTAGCTAGCGCGCCGAAAGGCGGTGTGGTGGATTTTTGTTGGCCTAAAAATGGGGCTGTTACCATTGAAAATCACCATTGATAGTGAATTTTCCCATGAAAAATGGTGGATCTTTCCATAGTTATGTTAAATTACCAGAGGGTATCCAAAAATGGTCTACTGTAAATTTAGGAGCTGGTCATCTAGTCCATTCATGTCCATCGAAAATGGGTGAAACAAAGTGGAGACTTCACCTATAGCAATGAAGAATGGATGGATCTGTCTGAAAATGCGGAGACCCAATGGCAATTTTGCTTAAATCCCAATAATTGAATGATTCTTCATGACTATCCGGTTATATACCTATCGGGGGATAAATCCCTAATTTTTTCCATTTCATGATATTTACCTCTCAATTCCCTGTGTTCTCCATTTTTTCCATCAAAAATATCATCCCACTTGTCTGCCCCCAAAAATCCCCATCAAATTCTCAACACAAACACTCATATTTTCCTGGTTTTCCCAAGATTTTTTCCCATTCTCTTTGCGTTTCGAACCTTGCTGCCGTCCGAGGAAAAGCGGCGGTCCGCGGGCTGCAAAGTCGGCCGCTCTTCGGTGGGCACCATCTGCACCTGGACGAGGCGCCTGGATGCGCGCGGCTGGCGCGTGGCGTTCGGATCCGGCCGGATCCGGGGGAAATGTAGGAAAAGGTACCCTCTGGTAATTTAACATAACTATGGAAAATCACCATTTTTCATGGGAAAATTCACTATAAATGGTGATTTTCAATAGCTATGTTAAATTACCAGAGGGTATGGGAAAAGATATGGAACATTCAGGAAGATGGAAAACTCTGGTAAAATCTGGGAACTTGTGGGACAGGAAAAGGTATGGGAAAAGATATGAACAACTATGAGAAAAATTGGATGTTGATTCTATTTCTACAGGGGATTTGTGGACTAAAAGGGGATGATAAATGGGTTAATCCCAACATAGTGGGAAATTTGAGCGGGGTTTAACTTTTTACATATTTCCTTTTTAAATAAAGCAACAAAGACTGAACTTGTTATTCTCCCATATAGCTTATGATTAGGGTGCATGGGAAGACATTTCTTTGGGCGTGGAAAGGCCATGGATGCCCGATCTCTATGTTTTATTTTTTATTTTTAAATGATATTCCTATGGATATGTGATGTGATTTAGTTTTCTGTTCATCATAAATTAGCCAGATGTATTCACAGTTTGTCCAGGCATGTTTGAACAACTGCAGCCTGAAGTTGTTTAAGCCCATGTTTTTTTTGGACATTTTCCAAGGATCAGCTCACAAATCCGTTGAAGGAGGGAGATGTCTTCCAAAAGGATCAACCGCTCCAACATACCGAGAAACAGTGAACATTTCGAATTCTCTGAGAAGCGGAGATACCAATTGGCTTCCAAAGACGGGTCCATACGTATATTTTACAGATTTACAGTACATATACAGTAGAATATACCTATATGACCTGTATATATAAACACAGTATATGTCTATAGCACATAATCTCTTTGGTTCTTGTTGCAGTTCCCCAGTTTTTCAAAAGCCCTACCAGGACACAGCGCCAAAGTGCGCGGAGGAAATCGCCGCCTTCTTCGAGGCAGAAATGAGGATTTAGCAGCACCAACCCGTGCCCCAAAGAGTGAACACCTTGGACACGGGGCATGACCCTTTTGAACCAGCCGTGGTCAAAACTCCCGTGTGGCAATCATATACTCAGCTCAGGCTACCACATTTTGGCATATTTTGGTATATTTCGTGTTAATTTTTAACACCAACCATCCCATTTTGAGGGTGGGAAACCAATTTTACCCACAACATCCCACAACCAAATCATGAAATGACTGCTCAGAAAAGTTCAGATATCCAATCACAAGTTATTTGTCATGAATTTCCCACTGGACATTGCCATAAATTGCCATACACCTTAAGATGTCAACTTCATGAAATCACTTTTTTTTTTGGTTAAATCAGTTCAATCCCCAAATGTTTATCCATCCTTGATGGTTTTTCATGAGGTTTTTGAGGCAGGCGGCTCGCCTGCGTGCCAGGCCCAAGTCTCTGATTGGGATGAAGTGGAGCTCAAGCTGTGAAAAATGGGGGAATCTTCGCAGCTGGGCCGACTGAACAAGGGGATATGACTGGAGGATATTCATGGGATGTAACTGATTCAAATAATGGATCTCAATGGGATATTGACATTGAGTTAGATAATGGATATGAAGAACCAGAGAACTGTATATATATATATATATATATGTATATATATATATACACATAATGGGAGAGAGAATGGAGAGTAGCCGGAACTATTGTGATATATATATATATATATACCCTCTGGTATTTTCACATAGCTATGGTTAAAGTCACAATGTTTCAAGGGTAAAATCATCAAAATGGGTGGGCAATTTTCCAGAAAAAAGCGGGAAACTGGGAGATGTCTGCAAACATTTTTTGGACGGGTGGATAGCAGGAACCAAATTGGGAACATCTAGGATCTGGACACGACAACAACGGTGTGGATCCCACAATTATATTACCATATCATTGAACTATGATATATTAAATTACCATATCATTACCACATCAAATGGTGCAACCGGGCCCTACATGAATACATAGGTTTTGAAACCTTGCAAACTGAGCATTCTCCCAGATAAGGTAAGGCAACTGGATCTTTTGGGTTGGGTTAGTGTCTCCTTCAGACACTCAAAGGAGTCAGTTTTTGCGGGCTTATTTATTCTGTTTTAATCATATTTGTGGATTATCCCCAATAACTAAATACATGTACTGTATATTAATATACGTATAAAAAGTATGTAATCTGTTTCTTCACCATCACAATGATATTATATTCTTTATTCTTACGTGTTTTTTTTCATATTCTTTTGGGATGGGTTGAAGGCACCAATCGCACTTGCCGCCAACGACAGGCTCCAGCAATTCTTCCCGTGGACGCTTTTGGCATTGTGGCAGGCCGGGCTTGGGTAAGGTGGCGCGCATAGCGCAGCTTTAACGGTCATTTTTTGTGGTGGTGAATTCAGCAACCAACCACAGGTGGAATTTAAATACCACCCAAATATACGTATACATTACGCATGTGTATATATATATATATACACACATATATATATATATATATATGTATATGTATATGTATAGTCTGATGTCTGTGTATATGAATATATAGCATTCCATCCACCCATTGGTTGGGGATGCCAAGAAAGAAGGGATGATATCTGGAGCAAGCTCAAATGTAGAGACACCTAAGAACCACTTGGCAGGTGCACAGGGTTTAGAACTTGGTTTTAGGTGGTTCAGTCAGCATGATTTTTCTGGTGTTTTGCACTTCTCGGATCTCCCTTTTTGATGATGAATCATCATTAATCATCATTAATCATCATTAATCATTATTAATTATCATTAATCATTAACCATTAATCGGTTCAGTTCAATCCCAACTTTTGGTACTTCAAATCCCTATTTCTGAAAGGTTGCCAGTCTTGTTGGTCGCAGAAAACCGGTTCCCAGGCAACGTTGCTCCTTCTTCAGGCGGCTTTGGCAAGTTGAGCCACTCAAAATCGCGGCTGTTCGTTGGTTCATAGAGGGGGTTAATGTGGGTAAAACATGGTAAAACAAGCATAAAGCACAAATTTGGGAATGGTTTACACCACCTATTTATGGTGATTTGGGGGATGCTTCATTATTGCTTTACCCACAGTATACTAACTGCGTAGTGGGTTATACTAACTGCATATTGGGGACTATAATCACCAACACTAGGAATACAGTGCCTATGCAACCAGTGTAACTGGATGGGAGAGCCATATTTTTCATGGCTCACATGACTTAGTCATGTTTGACAACATTTGGAAACAAGATCCCACTTGTGGAAGTTGTAGCAATCCCATTATTGGCCGACAGCAAAAGTATATAAATTGCGAACTCAGACCTGAAAGTGATGAGATGAGCCCAGAAAACTGCCACTCGTATAGCACTATACCGTTATACCCAGACATACATGTACAATATAATCATGTTTTTTCCACATCCAATCCAGGATTAATCCAAATGTTTGTGGTATATGGCACACGCGTCACCGCGTGGACCATCTTCCGTATTGAGTTGGCTGTGGAAAACGCTGCCATAAACCTAGCATTTGGAGGTTTCAGTTTCTACATGTTTCTACCACCCATCATAAAAAACCGGAGAGTTTTTCTGATTCGGTTTACCACATCATCGAGAGTCATATCTTGTCAGGGGATATCCCCATCATTCAGGTCGTTTTGCTGATCGTTTTGGTGGTCCAGACTTGCTCATCCCAATGATCTGATCTAACTCAAGGGGATTTCACGAGTCGCTTCTTTGGCGTTTTTCAGCATCATTTCAGAAGGCAGTTTGCTATGGAAAATCTCCATTTTTGATAGGTAAATCAACGAAGTACGTGGTCATTTTCAATAGCTATGGTAAATGACCAGAGGGCAATATTCATCATAAATTCCCATGATAATCCCATGAATTTCCCATGAATTTCGTGGGTAAATCATGGTAAATCCGCCATGGTTTCGTGGCTAAAAACCCCGCAACGTGGCTCCAGGTGGGTCTCACATCTCGAGAAGTTGTCGAGCAAGGTCTGGTGGCAACGCTTCGATGCTTGGGACAATTTAAGGGGATCTGGTGGCGTAACAAAGACATCAAACATGGGACAGATATAGATGTAGATATATTTATGTAAGGACATAAATGAAGGAAATGAAGGAAATGAATGAATGAAATGAATGAATGCATGAAGAAATGAATGAAGGGATAAATACATAAATAGATTGATAGATTGATATCTAATTGTGTATATATATATATGTACACATGGTAACCCCCAAAAGATAGACATGTAAAAACCAACTAAAAGTGTAGTTCATCACTTCTCTATCTTCTTGGGAGTTCCATCCCCGAGAAATTAGGACTGGGAAGTATTGAATAACACAAGCAGTAAAACAAACTGGCAATGCAACATCTAGGGATGATTGCTGAAAATAGTGATTCTACATGTAGCCAGGGGGTAGCATAAAGCAGATCTTTTTGATGATACGGAACCTGAATTCCAAAAAGGAACCGAGGAAGCCATTACTTTAACAAGTGCTGCTTTCCAGATGGAGGTCTCCTAAAATGGGATACCCCTAAAAATCATCATCCAATTAAATTAAACAGGATTTTCATGGATTTTCCATGAATTTTCCATTTAATAAATCATCCAGCTGGGGTCTCGAACTGGAAGGCAAATTTCTATGGTGGAATCCTGGGAGACCACAAGACAACATGGAAGCGTGTACTAGATATTGAAGATGTCAGTGATAACTAGACATCATACTATATATATATTGTTATAGATATTACTAGATATGTCAGTGATTACTAGATATCAATCTGACATCATATTATATTCATATTGTCATATTGTATATATAATATGTACATTAATATGTACATATAACATATATGTTTAGTGGAAAAGGTGTGACAGACAAAACACCATGTGAGTTGGATATGGCTCAATATGATCTATGAGAGTCTATGGTCCATAGATGTCCATACTTTATGTCTACATCTAATTACATCTAATAATTACTTCTAATAATTGCATCTAATAATTACCTCTAATTACATCTAATTACATCTATGTTTAATATCTACAACTATATGTACATTCAGATATTTGGCAGTCCTGGCAGCCTCATATCCTGATATCACTTGCTCCAGGTGCATACATGCAAACGTACAACGCCTCAAAATTTCGATTTGCCTTCCGGTGATTTACAACAGTTCGGTATGGAAAAATGGATGAACATGGCTCATTGATAAACATTGATGATAAACATGATGAACATGGTGATTTATGGAAAAACATCTGGAATTCCATTTTCCTATGGAAAAACGCACATGTTGATAAACACAATCAAATTTACCTATCAAAAGAAGTGGTGATTTTCCCGTTCGCCCATGGATCCCACTCAGGAGGACTTCACTTTGGTGAAGGACCGCGGGTTCCTGGCAGATGACCTGCTCCAGGCCATTTCGGGGTTGGATAAGTGAAAACCACTAGAAATTGATGGGGATATAGATCTGATCATTACCAGAGAGTAAATGAGTTTATAGATATAGATCAGACATGGTTTATTGATGATTTTTGCAGGGACTGTTGAATTACCAGAGGGTAGATGGGTCTTGGGGATATAACTAACACCACTTTGATATAGAACAACCATGGGGATGTTGGAGATCATGGGGATATAGTGGAGATATAATGGGATGACCAATCCCCCAACATGCACAGTTCTAGCCTGAGAATCGGCAACTCAAAGCTATATGAAAATTGATGTATTGCTGGTGATTCCAATTTTTGCGGGTGAAAATTTGGTGGTTAAACCGATCACCCCATTCCATTAGGGAGGATCCCTATGGAGATACTGAGTATGTGGGATAGGTATTATACATATTTTACATATTGTATAATATTGTGTATGTATATATATATGCATATATATATATACATATATATATATGTATATATATATATATATGTATATATATATATATGTATACATATATATATATATATACATTCATAGATATCCAAGTGTACCTCAGGGGTTAAAGCCCACTAGCAATTTACAAACTCTCCCAGCATTCGAACAGTTGAAACCAGTTTTCGCCTTAAAAAAGTGTTATCAAAAATGTTTCTCAAGCATCAAGTTTCCCTCAAGGAAATCCATTCCTGCAGGGTGCAGTTGGAGATTGTTGGTTTCTCTCCGCCCTGGCGGTGGTGGCACAACGCCCTGATCTCATCTTGCGGCTCTTCAAGGGCCAGGAGGGAAACTGGACTAATCGCTGGGAGTTCACCCGGGGTGATTGGCAAGACATGTTTGATGGCCGGGGAACTTGTCAAACACCAGGCATTCAAACATCAATCAAAGATATTTCACCCATGAATAGTGGATATGACGTATCATATTCCCGGAAATAAACCGCCACTGTTTTTATTGCCCGATTTTAAGGAGCCCTGATATATACTCTGATATGGGCCTATGGGGATGGTCAAAATCTTGGCTTTTGCGTATGAACGGGGGGGATTCACATCCATGGCAGCCTGCCATTTTGATGTCAAAACGCAGGTACTTGGGCTTTATCGCAGACTGGATATAAAATTATATAAAGATCTTGGTATATAGATTGGAATGACTTCATAACCAAGTTCATCAACATGCCTGATACTACAATTGATTCCAATTCTAGTTTCACCCAGCCCGTGAAAAACTCCACAAGCAGTCAGCCAAAAATCAGCTCGGACCTTGCCCACAGACCGAAACACGTCAAGACGGATGCTACGTGGTGCAGCTATTTCTGGACGGCCGATGGGAAGAAGTAGTGGCAGCTTGAATCAAGCTTTGAGAACTCCATGTTTTTCGGACTTAGGAAGTAATTACCCAGTAATTACCCTTCCGGTCAAACATAGCAATTGGAAATCCCCTATAAATGGAGACTTATAGCTGCGAAAATCATGGAACATCAACCGTAAATGGTGGGGCCCTGGCCATTTTGGTGCCTTAGCTAGGCTCCAAGGGGTTCCCAGAGTTGGCTGAGATGAAGACAGTATTAGGGGCTTGGGCCCCCATATTTACCAGGAAAACCCCCTGGTTTCCTGGAAAATCATGTCTGAAACCACAGTAAACATCCGGATGTTTTTCATGATTTATCATGATTTGAATCATGATTTATCCCTGAAAATCATGTCCCACTTTGCAAGTGGAATCATATCAGTGGAATCATATCAGTGGAATCATAGATACTGTCATAGAATTGGATGATGGGAAAATTTTAACCGGAAAGCCCAAACAATTTGATGATAAAAACCCATGGGTTTCCGGTTAAGATTTTCCCTTAAACCAACCCATAGATACTGGGAGTTTGTCCCACTTGTTCTCCTTGCGCTGAGGTCGATGACCAGTTGCCTTGCGTGGACATGATGCGGAGCGATGGGACTCAGCTGGCATTCTCCCGGGCCAAGGAGCATCGCAGCCGAGAAGTCGAGAAGAACCTAATCTAGCTGTGTAGAGATGTTTTTGCATATATTATATAAAATTATATACTGTATATATATATATATATAATTATATATATATATAAATGTATGGAATATCCCCATGATTTATGGCAATTTATGGGTTGTAAACCACTTGCGATTCCTCAGATGCGCATCCATATAGGTGAGATATGGTGAGATATGGTGAGATGGCATGGGACTATATTTATATATCCCGTATTCAACAATGGACCACCTTCAACATGTGTCATGTGGACGGATTGGAAGCCCACTTCGTCGAATAAAATTAGTCGACTTGTTCTGTTCTTATCCGGCCAAATCCGTGCATTTGGAATATTCACTTGAGAAACTTTGGGAGATCTCCTTTCCGCAAAACAGTTTCAACCAGCATCATCACTTCGGCAACGGCGTATAGGCTTCCTCTATCTACTTTGAGCTTGGAAGGATGACCCAAACGAAAGCTTCGGATCAGACTCGAAATCACTTAACAGTTGTCCTGCATAAGGGATTGCAGCATGAAATATGGTTCTCGAAGGCCCTGGTAGGACTCAGTCAAGGATGGGAATGTATACTGCTTCTTCCTCAAAAACGAACAGTCAAAATTCAAATTTATTATTGTATCCCAAGGTATGCAAAATCGATTCTTAGGTACTAAATATGCAAAATTAAGTTTGACAATGTTTAGTACAACGAAATATCAATGTTTATTATTGTACCCCATGATATGCAAAATTAGTATTAAACATGATCAATCTTGGTGGGTCCACAGGTATCTCATTTTTGTTCCATAGCCACCATATAGGTACCTGCCTACAGCGTGGTAACTGACGCACCACTCTGCAGCCGTATATTCATGAATGTAGTAAACCCTGGCTGCCATAAACCTAGCGTGACTGGGCATTATGAAAATTACCAACTATTTATAGTCATATTGGGAAGGGTTTAAATTCTTGGGTATACCACATTAATAGATACGAATATTAAATTAATTTTGGTATATCCCTATAAATATTTAATTACCATTAATTAATGTTTATTCCCTATAAATTAATTAATGTTTATATACCACATTTAAATTCTTGGGTATACCACTATAAATATTCTTCTGGCATATCCCTTTCCGGACCACTGAAATCCCACCAGTCCAGGATGGACAGCTTTGGGTGCCCATTCTGGAGAAGGCTTATGCCAAGGCGTTGAGCTGGTGAGATCTCCGAGATTTTCTTCGAAAATTAAAGGACCGGATAACCCCACATGTCAACTTCTTTGAAAAAAATGGGCAACAAATGTTGTAGCGGGGCGGGCAAGGCAGGAGGTGGTGGAGGATCGAGAAGTAAAACAAGTTGTATGTGAAGAGTTGTGTGTGACAAAGTTGTATGTGAAAGATGGTGTGTGAAAGATAGTGTGTCAAAGATGGTGTGTGAAAGATGGTGTGTGACAAAGTGGTGTGTGAAAGATGGTGGGTGACAAAGCGGTGTGTGAAAGATGGTTTGTGAAAGATGGTGTCCGACAAAGTGGTGTGTGAAAGATGGTGTGTGACAAAGTGGTGTGAAAGATGGTGTGTGAAAGACGGTGTGTGAAAGATGGTGTGTGACAAAGTGGTGTGTGAAAGATGGTGTGTGACAAAGTTGTGTGTCAAAGTTGTGTGTGAAAGATGGTGTGTGACAAAGACGGTGTGTGACAAAGTTCTGTGTGAAAGATGGTGTGAGAGCCAGCCCAGTGCCGCAAGTGCCACGCCTGCCACGCAAAGTGAAGGTCCATGTCACCAAGTGCCACGCCTGCCACGCAAAGTGAGGATCCATGTCGCCAAGTGCCACGCCTGCCACGCAAAGTGAAGGTCCATGTCACCAAGACGGCTTGCTGGGATCAAACCAGAAACCACGGTGATTGGTACAAATAATTTCATAGCCACCACAAATCACAAATCCAAATGGTTCTATTATTACGAAATATTATGATAAATAGAAAATAAAAGATAGGTATCACCAAGATGGTATTTGTATTACTGTGATACCACTTTCACTGGATGCCAGGCCCATGGCTCCTACCGCGCCATCAGCGGTGGATCTGTGGCTGAGGCGATGGTTCGGCACACGTTTCGGCATGGGCTGGGAAGCTGATCTAAGTTGAAGGATTACAACACATACACGATTACAATGATATATATATATATATGATATATATATATATATATATATATATACAATATGTATATACGCACAACAACTCCAGACTTGATATATGAAATATGATATTATATATATATGATACATGTAATCTTATCTATACATGTAAATATGTAAATTACACAAACATGTATGGTAAATACATCTACGTACGACTTACTACAGCCTTCGGATTTTGCTGGTGCGCCCTATGATCCCCAATGATCGTCCCAACGGGAGCGTCCACGCTGATTCTCGAACGTTGAGGTGCAACAAAAACAGGAACGTAAAACATGTATACGTTTTCAGCATGAAAACCATGGGGCAATCATCATTTTTCCATCTCTGGCGGTTTTCATTTTTTTTAATTTTCAACCTTAGGATGATGATGGATGATGATCCCAAATGTCAATATCATTTTTTTCAGATGGGTGGCTCAAACACCGACTAGTGGAGTGTGTCCCAACAAACACGAGGTTTACATAACCCACCGTCATGGTTTCATGTAACATTTTTTTTATTGTGTTTGATGGTTGCATCCCAATTTTTCCACCATGTTTGATGGTCAAATACCATGTTTGTATCATTTTTGATGGTAAAATCCCATGAAATCACCATGTTTGATGGTTAAAATCCGCTAAATCACACTAAATCACATTAAATCCACATGTTTTTTTTGGGTCACCCTTTTTTTAAAGATCCCCTCAGCCTGTTTTTTTTTTGTTTAAAGGCCCTGCTCGACCTCACGGGTGCTGCCACTGAGACCCTACACTTGGAGGAGTCCGGTTTTTTTTCAGGTGAAAAGTGGAGGTTTCACCGATGAAAATGGGGGATTTATGGTGATTTCACCTGATTTAGCCAAGGAAAATATGATGAAAATGGAGATGTCACCTGATTTAACTAAGGATGTTGGATGATTTTACCAACAGACAATGGGGACTGAAGGAAAATGAAGATGGGGATTGTCACCAGCAAATCTTGGGGACGGGATAAACCACAAATCGGGGACCTAGGATCAGCAGCGTTATGAACTAGGTACGATTCGTGGGATGATCCTCCAAGTACACACACACACATATACATATTTATGTTTTTTTCCAAACAAAAATGGAGGTTTATACTTTTATACCCAACCATTCTTGCGTATCTTGCTTATTTTACTAGCCAAACTGCAGGGATTTGCAGATACCGTGTATTTTCAGACAAACCCAGATGATGCGTATGGGTGTTTCTGAAAATCTGGGTACATTGGATCTCTCCTCAAAAATGACCAACCGTTTGGATGATTTGGTCTCCCCCATTTTAGGGAACCCAGATATGATGCCATGTTATTGGAATGTGCAGAATGGGTCAAGACCCCCTGTTTTTCTCATGTTTGGATAGATTTTTAGGGATGAACATCCAGCGATTCCTGGTATTTTGAGATGAAAACCATGATGCCTTCAAAAAAAAAATCGACCCAGTCATCATAGATAGCCACCTCACCACATCTCTTCAATGGTCAAATGGTTTTTAGGGTTGGAGATGGCCCAAAGTCCCAGGACTTCCAGCCAGCAGACCTCTGGGAGCGGTTGGCCACCTGGACCAAGTCACCATGGGTCTACCAGAATTGCCTTGGACCATTGGATGATTTGGGGGGAACACACTGTTCCCGTGGAGTGGGACGCTTCAGATCACCGTTGCCAATTAGTGGCCAAAAAGAGTGGTACTCCTCTCAGACAATAATTCCATTTTTTGCAAAACTTTCAAAAGGTTTGGTGGCTGTTTCCATTCAGTTACAAGTTGGTTTAAAACCCCCATCAACCATAGATATATCTACCATAAACATCATAAACCATAGTTCATCAATCATCAACTATAGATATATCTACCATTCATAGCCGGGGCACCTCGTTTTTCGAAACTCAGGTGAGCTACCAATCTGCTCAGCTGCCCATGGGCTGTGGTACTGCTGGACATCCCGACCTCGAAGAGGTACCACAAAAAAACCAGCAAACAATGGCCGTTTTACGGGGGAAAACCATGGGGATATTACCAACACCAACTATATGTGATATTTTGGGATTCTTTCAAACTGAAGGATTCGCTGAAGATGATGATTTTCTGCTGAATCCACCATTTGTGAAATCTAGATATTGTTATTGTCTATTTTTCCCTACCATAGGCACAGCAAATCCGAGACGAGGGGCTTTGCAAAAGGTACTCTCGGTAATCAGCTCCGTGGGTTGCTGGAAAAAAATCCCCAAAAAGTTCGATGATTTTCTTATTAAAACCCACATTTGTAGATGATTTTCCCATGAATTTCCCATGAAAAGATTGAACAAACCCATTTACAGAGGATTTTCCAAGTCAAAAACGGGATGAGCCATCTGCCCCAGGTGGGCTTGGTGGGGTATCACGCCTACAGCATCTTGGAGCTCCGAGAAGTGGATGCCCAGGTGCGTTTTTTTGACATTTTGGATGCGGTGTCTGGGGATATCAATGGGAAAGTGACACCAAAAGACCTTGGAAACTACCAAAAAGAAACAGGGTGATTTTATTCGGATCTGACGAAAGAAGCAAAACATGAACAGTTTGGACCGGTACTGTAACATCTGTTTCAGGGGGAATTGCTTTGAAACTTTTAAGAGGTGGCTGGACAGCACAACAAATGTTGGAGAATGTTCAAGCCTTTCGAGCGAGAAGTCATTTCCAGGCGAGGACATTTTCGTCACAAGATCGAACTGAAAATGATGACTCAAAGTTACTTTGGGGCCCCAAAATTTTGTGGTTCCCTAGGTCTTCGAATTTGAACCTGTGCCCATGTACCGTCAACCCTGCACAAATAGAAGCTGGGTGGGCCATACCCAGAAGTGATCACTGGCGACTAACATGGTACCCATCAAGTGACAGCCCATGGGTCATTCATTGCAACATCCCGTCGTATCCCTTTGGTTGTTGGTTAGATCTAGGGGTGACCCCCAAAGGTGACCCAGTAGTGGCTGGTGAAATAAGCCCAGTGTGATTTTTGATGGTTCATTAACACCAAGTAAACCCATATAACCCCAAGTAAACCCATATTTTTGGGGGGTCAGCTGGGGGGGTATCCCATATACAGCTATATCATGCTATATCCCATTATAAAAATTATATCCCGTTACTTATTACCAGTCTGTTACTTAAGTTTACCTGTTTAAAACGAAGTTTGGTCGGTTGGTTCAATCCCTATTTGTATAAACCATTGAAATCGGCTTCGTCATTTGGTTCGTCGAATCCCTAATTTTTCAATCTTGGTGAACTCCCAAGTTTCATTATATACTGTGGATGGTTGCGAAATCTTGCCCCACCAAAAGGATGGTATTTCAACCCCAACAAAATCATGGGATGTTTACCATCTATCTGGTGATAACCGGATTTCGCAACTTCCATCCATAGGATTCCCATTCATCTTCTGGGGGCCCGGCCGCGGAGGAGGTTCCTCCTGCCTTGCGCACGGGTGATCCCACGATTCAGCTTTTGCGGCTGCGGAATCCCCACGGTGCCACGGGAAATGAAGCCTTCATTGGACAATCCTCATTTTGAAACATCTATAGTCATCTATAGTCTATATATGTCTATATAATATGATATAAATGATAATAATAATAAATACACTATATAACATATATGTATAATTATGTACACAATATGATAATATATACATATATGATTATTAATTACGTGATTAAGATATGTGCTGGTTCTTTTGCAACACATAATGAAGAGGTGTATCTAGTTTCTTGGGGTCCTTCTTGATATGATTAAATAAGAATATTGTAAATAATAAGAACACTGATAATAATTATAAATAATAATTATTACTATAAATAATAATAATGATAAGAATAGTAATTATAAATAATTATAATTATAAGAAACCATTATAAATAATAATAATAATGATTATAAATAGTAATAGTAATAATAATAATTACAAATAATAATGATAATAATGATAATAAAGACAATATATATATATCATAATATTTACAGTATATATATATAATATGATAATATGTACATACATGATTATTAATTGCATGATTAAGATATGTGTTTGTTCTTTTGCAACACATAATGAGTCGAGGTGAACTATCTAGTTTCCCCGGAGGAGACCACGAATTCCTTCGGGGGAGAGGTACGTTTTTTTGTCTACCGCAGTGAAACCCCATCTGAAGGTGTTACGAATACTGAAAGTTCTTTTTGAGATACCTGGTATACCTCCCAAATTGGATTTTTTATGGGGATAATGATAAACATCCATTGGACTTGGGGGTAGCCTATTTTCAGACAAACCCGGATGATCCAGATGAACCAATTTTTACAATGACGCCCTGGAGGCATGGGCGAGTGGAACCGCGACTGGTCCGACATGTCCAGTCAGTGGACTGACTCGTTAGAGAAGATCTTGGGTCGAAGTGCTGTGAATGATGGCACCTTCTGGATCGATGCTGGGTGCTGGTTTCAGAGGCCTTGGGATGTAAACAAAATACCAAGGGATGACTCATTTTATGACTAATTCACATACAAATGAAGATTTCGTAAAATGGGGGTATCCCCAAATCACTCAAAATTAGACCATCTGGTCTTAGTCTTGAAAACAATGGTGACTTGGGGATCCAATTTTAAGAAACTCCCAAATCAATCCAAATCAAAGATTGTAATCATGTCTTCGAATCGCTGGGATTGATATATTTCATATTTATCCATATTTCATGACACACCCTGTGCTTGGACTTACAAGACCGCTGGAATTGCTGGGATCATTTCGATATGAACTCCGTGGTTGGGATAGTCGTCATGAATCCACAGTTGGCAATGTGGAAACTAATGCCCAGGTCAAACTCAGGAAAAAATGCTGCAATACAGAGTTTTTCATAGTTACACATGATTTGTATCATATCGACATGCAACAATATGTTTACACACAAAGGATACTTCAAATCTGGTGAAATTTGCGGGATCCAAAAATCGAAAACGTCGACCCCAGGATTTCATGCACTTCCTGTCCCTTGGCGAAAAAAAACCCGTGGCAGGTTGGATCATCGCCAAAAATTTGGCGGTTGGCTGGGAAAATATGGGAAAATCGCCATGAAGCCATCATCAATGGAGGTTCGGTTCGCTGGAAACATCCGCTGTAGTTTTCTGGAGGTTTAGTTCGCTGGGAAAATCATTGGTTTTGTATAGCTGGGGGACTTTCCAGCCGCCGGAGGGGACTTGCCATGTTTCATGAGGCTTCGCTTAGGAGTTGATTGCGGTAGTCCCACACCATGCTGATTTACAGTACATTATACTTCTGGCATTATGTATATAATTATATATACACAATATATATATATATGCATATGTGTACATACATATGTATTGAAAATTCAACAATATTTTATAGATATTTTACCATATTTTTAGATTCACCACAATATCTCAACATAGATTTCAACAAGAATTTGTCATATTTGTGATTGACCGCACATGTAATCTATTAAATCTACAGAAAGGCTACCGGCCATGGTTGCCATTTGGTTTCTTCTCCCAGGATGGCCTTCGAAGTGGTGGACGTGTGCTTTGCCTTCCCATCTTGGCATAGCTCCAGCGTGCAGAATTTCTTCTGCGCCAAGTCAGAGGAGTGCAGGTGGGCTTCAACCGACAGCTTCGCTGGGATCCATCGTGGGGGGGATGGGAATGGGAATACAATAGGAATCAGGTTTTTTGATGATGAAACTGGGAAGATCTGGAATATCTTTGTGGAATGCTGAGAATCGGTTGGAGGCATGTGGCAATAGCCATAACACTGATCAAATGCCAGCATGGGATGCTTGGATGCCGAATAGTTTCAAGAATATCTAAATAGTTTGAAGAATATTTAGATCAACTTTGCGGCTCATTTGAAACCCATTTCGGCAGCACCATGCTGGAATATCCGACTGTTTGTATTTTTTTTTGCATGGCTCTGTCTCAAAACAGCGGAGCCAAACTCAACAAATCTCCAGTCAGAACTGAACCCCCAAACAAGTAATCCATGCCCCAAATATCGTATATCCACCCAAAAGTATGGGCCCCGAAAATGAATGGAGCCAATACATTTCACAATAAATTTCACAATACATTTTCACCAGGGTTTCGTTTGGGTATTTCACACATATTGGGGGAGGGGCTTATTCATCTGAGTGGTGTTCAACCGCCCTGTTGGTTGATGTAGTTCGCGGGTTCTACTGCCCAGTATATTGGGGATTGTCATAACTTCTGGGAAATCCTGTTCATCAATTAGTATAATTTCACCCATATATATAATCATAGATATACCATATGTATACCATTACCATGAATATACTATAGTATCAACATAGTATACCATGTATTACCATATACATATATATACATACCATACATATGGATATACCATAGGTTAGATATAGTACCAACGTCTCTCATTTGTGTCGTGTTTTCACAGGCTATGTCGAGACGCCTATATCTTGGAGGTCACGACACGCACTGAGCCTTGGCAATGAGGTGAACCCCCAGCAATTTCATGGGGAAAATTCTGGGAAAATGATGATCTTTGCCAGTTTTGGGGGTACTCAATTTCCAGACAAGCCAAAGAAGTGGTCAAAAAATCCTGGGAGATATTTTTTTCATCCTGAGGTTTAGATGTCTTGGAACTGAGATTCAGAATGTTCAGGCCAATAGTTGCCATCCAAAAGAAGCAGATGTCAGATGTTTCAGGGGGAAGTGATCACCCAGTCTGTATGGCAAACCCCGAAAAGCTGGGCAGTGGGGAATCATGACAGGAGATTAAAGGGCCATGTCATCAAACAACGCCCTGGAAAAAAAAATGGACCCCTAGCCCTAATGTAATGAGCTTCTGCAGTCATGAAGTCCTACCAGATTTGGAATGATGCAGATTCAACAATGAAGACCATCATTTAGTCGGTTTCTGGATTTAGATGTATTTAGTGTTGTTTTTGTGCAATTAGAGAGACTGCAAGAGGCAGCAAGGTTCGCACCTTCCCGTGCCAGTGAAAGTGAAAGTGAAAATGACGTATATAATCATATATAATTATATATATAATATATATATATAAATATTTTTTGTTGTTTTGAGATTTATATATATATAATATACATATAGATAGCCGTTCCAAACATGAACAAAGACTCCCATCTCAACGAGCATCGACCATCCCAGGAGCTCTACATCTCCTCATTGCAGCCCACGAAGAGGGGCACCTGGCTGCGCGGCGAACGGAAACGTTTCTACCAACCAGGTGCGTAAGCAGGGAGCTGAGCTGAGCCGTTAAAAACTAACCAACCTTTTTTTGGGGATATATAGATATACATTGATATATACATATATATATGTATATACATATAATGATATATATATATATATCACTTAAATACACATACATATATATATATATATGTAAATATATGTATACGATATGCCTTGATTTTTGTTTGTAATGGGATACTATATGATATATATATATATATATATAGTTGATCAACTTCGATATGATATAGGGGTGTGTCTGAAAATGGGGCGTACAATGAAATGGTCATTTTGACTGGAAAATTATGATAAGTAGATTTCGGGCTATCAATATTTCCGACAAACCCATATAATTTGTACACATAGTATATGCACATGTTCATATGTATGGATGATGGGGATTTGATTGGGCGCAAATATGTCGACAACATGGGGATTTTGTTAAACACGAATGGACTTTTGATAGAATTTGCGTAGCCGAAGAATTGGAATTCAAAGAGATGGGAACGGTGATTTAAGCAACAACAATTGGGATTCGAGCGGGATATGATTAATTTGTTTATGGCCCGCCACCTACTAGGACTTCGCAGTGAAGAGTAATAGGACACCTCCTGTACAACGGTGACAATCTTTCTGGCTACTCTTGTTGGGTGCCATGTCCAAGGGACATTGACGTACAAGAACGCAGACATTAGATGAGATTATGCTAGCTTGCAAGAAGGTGAATATTGATACAGTAGTGGTTTCGATCTTGCTTTAGCATCTTTTGGCATCATTTGTCGTATTACCACTTGGTTGTCGCTCTGACCGATTTTCAGGTTCCCGGTCAGGTATTCGGTGAGATCCACCTTTTCTTGGTTATATAGTTATATATACAGTAGATCATTTGCTGTTTCTCCGATCTTTCACACATTCTCTGTGTTGTCGAATATTACATTCTTGAGGGTTATACAGCTCACGCATTGGTTCAATACTTCCAATCCCATCGGAACCAGGTGACGTGAGTTTGCTGCTACTGCGACTGGCAGATGTGCGCAAGCTGTACCCGGGCTAAAGGTGGTGGGTCAACAGCTACTGTTCACCAGGAGTCGGGCTGTACCATGCCCAGTTGATGATCGCTTCCGCACAAAAGTCGCAATGGGAAACCTTAGTGAAGGATAGCAAGTTGTGGGTGTCAACACATTGTCAACACCTGATCAATAATTTAATAACTGATTAGGGGGGGTTCTCAAATAGCAATAATCGACTAAAATGATCCCTCCCAATCAAACACTCCAGGGATCCAGGGGGTTTCTGAATGCGGGGTTGACATTATTTTTTTGTTGGTCAGGAAAATACTTGAACAGACTAATTGGTATCCTGCCAAAGGTAACTTTTTTTTGCAATGTCTGTACGCCAAATTGGCCGCTATCAGATCCTCCTCCCGCATGCAAGGAACATGGAAAGATTGGTGGCATCCCATCTCAAGGGAAATCAAGTTCGCAGCACTTTGCAGGTGGGGGTTTGGCCAGCTTGGAGCCATGGTGAGCCTTGTGGCTTCATTTGACAGCATGGTGAGCGGCACCAGCCCCGTGTACTGTTTGAGGTATCCGTAAATGGTCAAATATACCTGAGCACCTGCCTGCAGCGGATCTCAAAGGATTTTGCACGTTTTGGTAGTGATAGGGGTCACCCAGTGGGCACCCGGTAGGCAGAGACCCCCAGTGGACATCATGTCCTAGTGAGTCCCAACCATTCCCACCCTGTGCCAAACGGCCATCAGCTCGGTGGCTTTTGGGCTTTGATGTAGGACATGCCCAAAACGTCCCAAAACGCAAATTTTCCTCCAAAAAAAAAGCAGGGTTGTATCATGTTGTATCCCAAGTGCTATGTCATGGTCGTGGTAACAGATCAGCATTTTTTTGATGCTTAACCACTTTTGACGGCTAAATCCCATGAAATCACAATTTTGATGGTTATATAATTCCCATGAAATCACACTATTCTTGATGCTTCAATCCCAATTTTTCATCATTTTTCATGGGAAAAACCCGCCATCTAAGAACTGGAGCCAGGTCACCTTGGACGCGGGCAGCTTTTTGTTGCTGCCCTACTGCCTGGGCTCTGGGCCTGTGGCCATATCTGGAGGTCCAGAGGCCTGCCATGGCATCCAGGGCATCTCATTTAACAAAAAAAAACGTGAAAATCCATGATTTTAAGATATCTTAAATCTATTGAATCTATTGTATAGCTATGTCAATTCTATATCCCTATGGATTGTACTTCCGTACCTTCTGAGGAAGTATGACTGGGGGGTTCTACTTCCCTTCTCAGTCTCTGGATCGATAGTGTACACAAGATAAGCTTGTCTTTAGCTGGGCCATGGAGTTAGTTAGCGAGTTAGTTGACTAATGAGATAATACCTATAATTGTATATGTGAATGTGTATATATATATACACACACATTCACATATATATATATATATTCATATATATAGATATATATCATAGCTACTATGAACTATAGCTAATCAGAAATCATAGATATATCCATCAGAATTATCAGACAATTATAGACAATTATAGATATTTGGTGGAGATGTGTATAATCATGATAGCTCCCCAGTTGTAAGTTGGTTTATTAAAACCGTTGACATCCGTGAACTGATATGAATTCTGTATATATATATATACGTATATATAATATGTATGTCTATACATATAAATATAAATATAAATATAAATATGTATATATATATATGTATATCTATCTATATCTGAATTCTATGCATATATATATATATACATACACATATCTACCATAAATTCCACTTTTTAACATTAGCTTAGTCTACACCTCTGCATCCCAGGCAGCTCCGTGGACGCTCCGCCTTCAGAGCTCTCAGCCGCTGCGCTGCACGGCGAAAGCGGTGACCTTCACGGCGCAGCTGGCGCTGGCGTCGGCAAGGGCCTGGCGCTACCTGGCGCGACAGGCGCAGTTGCGCAGTTCCTAAGTCATGGATCCCCTATCCCCGAAATAAATGGGGAATATATATGATATATAATGGTATATTAATATAGGGGTATATATATATATATAATGATGTATAATGGTATATAATATGGTATATAATATGGTATATAATATGGTATATAATGTAATATAATATAGTATGGTATATAATGGTAATATCATGATATACCATAATCCAACAACTAGTGGCTTATGTTATAAGAACTACATATATGGTGGTTTAGGTTTCCACACATGGGGGATCCCCAAAATGAGGATGTTTATAATGGAAAATCCTATGATATCAATGATTTGGGGATAGCCCCATGACTTAGGAAACCTCCTGGACTCATCCAAGATTAGACCATTTAGTATTGAAACAACCATGGTGACTTGGAGTAGCAGCATTTTAGGAACCCCCCATATGGTGATTGAACTGAAGAGAATATGAGGAAATGATGAGAAACGGAGAACATTAGTAAATTATGGGTTTTAAAGGAAGGTTTTATGTGGAACACCGTTTGGAAATGAGGATGTACAACTGATGAAAGTTGAAGGATTTGGGGGAATTTTGAGGGATTGCCGGGTGGTGGAATGCGGTTTGACTAAGGCAACGATAGGAAATGAACCAACCATGGGACATGAACCATAGTGAAACATATGAAAATCCATCTCAGAGTCTATTTTTCATGTTCCGTTGGGGAAGGTCGTCATTTGTTGGTTTTTCGTGATGTCAAATCCAGGTGAAGCGAGGTTGGCTGATCAGGCCTGACCATGGCCCTGACTTCTCAACTGGAACTATTCTATGAGTAAACTGATGGTAGTTGCTGGATAGACACCTCCTTCAGAACATCATCTATCTACCATTGTTATCTACTGTACCCATTTACTGTCCATCTACATTTTCTATAGACTAAAGACGCGACATCATGTCATCAGACACGCCGCAGGCCCTTCCAGCTTCACTGCTAGAAGATCGACTGCAAGATGAGGCAGCGGTGGTCGTTCGATTCAGAAGCTTTGGTACACCTTCATGCAGATTTTGCTGCCGCTTGTTGCTCTTTTCTTGCCCTTGGTCAGATGATTACATGTCTACTCTACTTGGGATGGCATAGATGGTTGAGTTGTTCCGGACCTCACAACACGACTTCACATTTGGCATGATAATTGTTTTTTTGGGAATATCCCCAAAGATTCTGATTTCAAGTTGGTGAACCAGTTCAGTTTATCCATATAAAAAACAACGGTTCAATGGTTGATACTCTTGTTATTACCATCTGGTTATTTAACATAGCCATGGAAAATCACAATTTTCAATAGGTAAACCATCTATAAATGGGCCATTTCCCATGGCTATGTTAAATAGCCAGATGGTAATGATGGTTAATGGTGAAATCATGCCAAAACCTGGCTATTCCCCAGCGACGATGGGTTCAACCCATGGTTCCCAACCCCCAGTTCTGCGCGCGGCAAGGTGCGCTTCTCCATGACCCGACCAGCTGGTCCGGAGGGTGCCCTCCTGCTGTGGCTGGCCACCGGAAAGAGTCGAGACTCGGAAGCGGCGTTTCTGGATGGGTTCCCCTTGGATAGTGGGAATATTTGAGGGTTTCCATAAATTGGGATCACCCAAAATGGATGGTTTATGATGGAAAATCCTATTGACATGGATGATTTGGGGGTATGTACCCCTTTTTTAGGAAAACACCATTTACTCAATTTTACTCACCGTCGAAACAAAGACAGGTATCGAAAAATCGAAGATTGGCCATGAGGTAAGGCAGGTTGGTCTGGTTGTTTTACTTCTTACACTAAAATGGGGACAGAACGGGGGAATATATGGGCTGAGGGTTGATTCCTCCGTCACAATTGTTCGAAACTGTAAATATTCTTTTCCTCGATCGCCACGGTCCCACTTGATTGGCTTCCAATCCTTTTCGGGCGATGGTTCAGTGCTGCCAGTCCCCCATCGAGGAAGCAAGGCACTGAAGCTTCAAATCGTGGCCAAGGTGGGGGGAGCGCCTTTCCACGGTGGATTGCTCCCTCAAAAACCGGTGGATTGTAGCACCGCCTGGGCGCCTGATGGTAGCTACTGAAAATGGGCGAAGAACATGAAGAACCCACATTATTTTCGAGTTTATATAACGGTGAACATGATGATCAAACCAGGGCATTCTTGGGTACATCATTTTCAGACAAACCCATGTGTTTCCTGTGGGTAGAATAGATGCAGCATTCGTGGGGCCAAGACAATTTCAATTGAGTTTGATCTTGAATTCAACCCTACCGGTACATGAAACCAGTCAGCTGTTTCTTTCCTTGGTAGATATTTGAACATGATTCATAGTTTCTTTGAATGGGATGGCATCCACCTCTCATAGGATATTGCAAAGATTCACACTAGTTCCATTTACGGAAATCGCAGTACATGTATATATATATATATTCATATTATGTATGTATATAATATATAGCATATATATATATATAATATTATATTGACCCATCCTATCGGTTGAATCGACTTTCAGCTTGAGATATAGCAAGCCCAACAAGATAGACAAGTAACATCCTGCTTAAATAGTGATCAATCACTTTTCTCATCTTTTTCTAACATTTTTTTTGAAGGAATACTATACATATATATATATAGATATATTATATATAATTAATTATATATATACACGTATAATAATTATACATTGTATAATTTATTGAACTGAATCTATTGAACTGACATTTTTGCTGATGTGTGGCTTTGTTTTAGGGTCCCAACTTGAACCTCTTCAGCGTGGAAGGCTATGGTGGTGAGGGACAGCACTGGGCTCTGCACTTCGAAACAGCTGCCGCAAGACATGGATCCTGGGCCCAGATTGGAGGGGTCTAATATTAAAATTTGTATTAACTCATTATATAGTTAATGTATAGTTAATAGATTATTAATAGATAATACTATTAATGGATCTATTAATGGATTTATAATATTAATATATAATGGATTATTAACTATATACAAATAGCAAATGGCTATTTTTAATCAATTATAAACCCTAATAAACTCAAAATGGGGGATGAAGAAACAAACATGGTGATTATTGACAAATTACTAACTCTATAGAAACTGTGAAATAATGGGTTTCAGGACACAAATAAAAACAAACTGATGGGGAGTTTTAAGCAACAGAACATGCATTTAACCTTTAACAATGGTGGTTCAAGCCAGAAAGATGCTCTTTTCAGCAAACCAAATTGGAGATGGCTCAGGATTGATGATTTGAGCATTCGGAGTCAATCAGTGGGGACATGGGAGGTCTATTTTGGAAGCCACTGAGTCAAACCTGATCTTTGGAGGCGAAAAGTCGTTCAAGCTGCTGAGGAAAGCCTTTTGCCTTGCGAGTTCTGTGGAAGGACAAGACACGACTTGTTGTGGCACGGCGGGGAAGCTGTGACCGAATTACCCACTGTGATAGTTAGGAACTGATATTGCAGCCTGTTGGACATATCCTGTTACTCGAATTATTTTTCAATTTCGGACGTTTGGCGAAATTGCAATGGACTGGAATATGGAATGTAACCGCCAAACCTCATTAAACAGGCGTCCTTATTAAACACGATTGAATGTTGAAATCAACAAGATTGAATTTTCTGAATGTTGAATATGTTTCACAACTTTCTCATTTTTGGAAGTCAACCTCTTCAAATCGCGGCGATTTTGACGAAGACTCATGAGTTGATTGCGACCGACCTTCCATGGAAATCGTCATGTCTCCATGGGTTGCTCCTCATCCTCAAGTTACATATTTGCAATATACCCTCTGCTTATGACTAACATAGCCATGGTACAGATGGCCCATAGAAATAGTTGATTTACCTATTAAAAATGGTGAGCAATTTTTTTTTGAGCCATGTTGAATTCCTTCTCTCATTCCTTGGTACTGGTTCAAGAACGGGATTTCCAGTTCATGGACGATCATCATCACCAATATGATATAGATTGGATGGTACAACCGGATGACCTCCGACAATCACCCACCATTTCTCAAGACTATCAATAATCATTTTGATGGTTAAGGTCCCATGATGATTTCACCACCCAAAAAAAAGGTCAACTAGTAGGAGTTTTGACGATTTTTGAACATGATTTCATGCATTCTAATGGTAAACACATGGCAAAAACCATGGCTTTCCCTCAGATTTTCCAACGTCCGTGACGCAGGAGGGGCCACTCAGGCCGTACCTGTGGGCAGCAAATGCGTCGGAAGCATCGGCGCTGGCGACACCAGTTGGTGCGCTGATTCATGGTGGGGCAATCACGGACCCCGCAATGGTCATTTAGTTCGTGAATTTAAAAGCTACATATCATATGCTTTTGTGGTCAATCACGATTTGTTTTTGACGCTGCCACTTAGATTCTTAGATTGGTCATATTTGGTATAGCTTAAAATCATAAGGACCTCGCCGATTGAACATGATAGGTGGACTATCGCCAAGAAATATCGAGAATTTGCATTTCCACTCGCAGCTATAGTTGTGGTTTCACGTGTTGTTTCAAACATTCATCACCCATGAACTTATTAGTGTTTGAGTAGATGACAATTTGAATTTGAATTATTTTATCTTTAGTTGCTAACCTTCAGTATTATTATAGTCATAGTTCTTAATCAATTTACAAAACAGTTTTTTTTTCTAATCATCACCTTGATTATTTTTAATTCCACTCATCACTAGTGGTGATTCTAATCATCATCCGTATGATTTTTTTCCACTTGAGCAGTGTTCAACAGCAGAATCACAGGCGCCATGGAGGCTCTTCGAGATTTCGCTGTGCCTTGGATCGGATCTGCAGATCCAGGATGTCTAATGGATGCCCGGTGGACAAAGATGAAAAAAGAGCCCATGGAAGTCTCAAGATGTACTGTATCAAGATGTATCAAGATGTATCAAGTAGGTTGAATATCTAGAAATGGTGCATTTTCCAGGGCTCTCTCCCTCTCTCTCCCGTTTGTTTGAAGGGGTGCCTCATGTTCACGCTGAATCCGGGCTGTCCCCACCATGTGGTGCCCACAGTTAGCTAAGTTGGTTTCTAAATAGGTTGACTATGGTTACCTCGGATTTATGGTGTCTTTCGAAGTAGTTCCAATGGGGTTAGCCAACATCGCTGGGGGCTACCCTGCAACACCTTGGCGAGGCCCTTGCAGCACGAGGTGCAAGGACTGTGTCACTTGAAGCGCAATGAGAGGTAGACGCCACAATGTGGTTCTTCATGGATCCCCCCCAAAAAAGCCTCCAGATGATGGATTTGCGATATGAATGATGAATTTGGTGTTTTTTTTTTGCAAGATGAAGTGGCAATATGAATGGTGAAACAAAAAACCAAACCAGATATCCACAAGACACGTATGACTTCGTAGGACCACCACCTACACAGTCCCCGAACCCTTTTCTTACCCCCTGGCCGCGAGGTGCTTGAAAACCCACAATGATCAACCATGAATCAAAGGTTGGAGTTCATTTAGCAGGTTTTACCACATTACATAACGTTAACATATACAATCATTAATTAATTACAATAACCGTTTCCTAGAAACCTCATGAAGTTCACCATCAACTAATAAACCATCATGGATGGATCATATCTACCCCATTCTTGGTGCTTCAACTTTTGTTGATGCCGCGACATCCCACAACGCATCAACCGCTCATCATTTTAGGGGTTTTCACTTGGCTTATATACCATTGCTTCCCATTGTGACTTTCAACCAATCATTTTAAAAAATTATATAACTACATAATATAATATTCCTTTTTTGGTTTGATCTTTGATTTCGATGATTTATAGCATTATAGGATATTATAGGGTTATTTCCCAAATCATCCTCTTATGATAGTATATGAATATATACACATCGAATTATATACATAAGCACCAAGGAATTTCACCATGAACCACCAACTGCCTATCTGACGAAACGTCGCGTCGTGACGTTTGTTTTAGGTGCGGTCCTGGTGTCCAGCTCGGATCAAGCAGCGCTGGGCCTGCTGCGAGTGGCTTCCGCTGCGCCAGCGTCCGCAGCGGCGAAAGCGGCACAGGGCAGCATGCGCCTTGGGCGCCTGAGGGATTTTTGTTGGGGGAATCCCCTTCCAAATTGGGGATTAACCATCAAAAAAATGGGGGAATTGAATATGGATCATCCTGAAATGGGGATATAGAGCCGCGTTACGCGGACTTGTCCATAGAGCCAGGCCCAAATATAGCTGGGGGTACCCGACCCCAGCTATGTTTGGGGAGGAATCTGGTCATGACTCACTGAAAAATTCGATTGGAGCAACCGTGGATTTTGACTTTTTCAAAAGCCTTGGTTGAACACTGCTCTAGTGATAAGTGATAAGTGAATATAAGTGATATATAAGTGCATCATGAAAAAAGATGCAGAACATTGAAATCAACTCCTGAAATAGAGGTAACTTGATCAATTACTTTGCTGCATCTTTTTTGGGAGTTACTATAATGTCAGCAAATTGTACAATGGTGTTTGTCGTTGGCGCTTATTGTAGTTACAACCTGTTAAAGGTGAGAGCCTCTGTGACATCCTTGTTGTGAGTGTTCTCTTAGGTGTACTGTAAGCTATTCTTTTTGGGTACCATATTTTTCACCAATACATACCCATACTCAACTAGTTTGATGTGGTAAAGGCAACAATAAATCATTCCAATTTTTTACCGTTTGGGTATATTTGGGTCGTTTTTTTTTAATCTTCAAAATTTGGTGTTTACCATTGGGTCCAGACCACATTGTTCTGAAATCCGATTGACAAGTCATCATCCCTTCCCAGCGGGCAAATCTTCAGGACACCATGCTGGTAAAAAAAACATGGTAAAACCATGGTTTTCCTATAGATTTGTCCTTTTTGTGAACCACTCGACATTTGGCACGTTGGAAAAAAATAGAAACCACCACCATTGGCAGGTTTGAAGCCTGGCCTTTGGAGCATCCATGGTCCTCTGTCGATGATGAGGACGTTCCCCCGGAGGGTGGGACTTCCACCATGGCCGGCAATATCCCATTGGTATGGATTGTATCTTCAACCAGGGGATATATCATATATCGAGGTTTCCAAAGTCATGGGGGTACTCCCAAATCTTATTAGATCATATTAGACCCTGACATCGTATTGAAACAACTGTGATGACTTGGGGATCCCACATTTTAAGAGATCCCCCATATCAATTTGGGATTTCACGTATAATAGCAGGGTATATACTGTAGATTGTATCGATTTTTGATGATTTTTGAAGGATGAAATCGACCAATAGCGGTAGTTTTTGCGAGTGCAGTCCTCTCACTTCAGGACTTTGGCCACAGGATTTTTCACGAAGCCAAGTCGTCTTCAGCTGTCCAAAATTCGACCATTTTGCTGAATCGCAGCTTCAAATAACTATGGAATTCCATGGAATTTCATAAAAACTGACATTTTTTAAGTCAGTTTTTTGGATATGGCCGTGTATTTTCAGTATATTTGCATACATGTGTTGTTATAACTTATAACAGTATTTATCATGTGCTTGAATATGGCACAATATTAAACTCTTCGTCCCATTATACATAGATGATATGTGTATGTAGGATTGTATATATATATATAACATGTATATGTACAGATCGAGGATAGTTACCGATTGATACCATCATGGCAGTCCTGAAAAAAATCGCGTCGTTGCAGGACCTAGCCCGTGCCATAGCATTGTCGCTGCCAACAGAAGAGGCCACCTGGAAAAAACGGTCACCATACATAAAATGGTTAGCCAGGTATGTGATTCCCAAAATGTATGAGATTTACCATCTGGTTATGACTAACATAGCCATGAAAAATCACCTTTTTGAATAGGTAAACCTCTATAAATGGGCCATTTCCCATGGCTATGTTAAATAACCAGAGGGTAATGGGAATCTGGGGTGTAATTATGGGAATCATTCATTGACAGGCTAAAGTAAGTTCTTACTTCAGGTTTGAAATGTTGTAACTTGTCCAGAACGGGTTTTCTGGAGTTGGGAGCCACGCATCCGCCAGGGCTGCCTCAACTTGGGCTTAACCTGCAGCGATCAGACGAGGGTATTTCGGATGCAAATCATGTTCGGTTACCAATGATAGAGAATTATGATATAAACTGGTTGGTGGTTTGGAACATTTTTAATTTTTCCATAATATATGGGAGAATCCTTCCCATTGACTGATATTTTTCAGAGGGGTTGAAACCACCAACCAGTAAAGGCAAACATCAATAACCAACAGGGGTGAAGTCACTTGTTTTGTTGGATGCGAAGATGTGGATGAACGTACTGGAACACACAAGGAAACCAATGGTTGGGAACCCAATTTTTTGGGTACTCCATGGTTCTGGGTGAA